ATGTGTATGTGTGTGTGTGTATGTATGTATGTATGTATGTATGTATGTATGTATGTATGTATGTATGTATGTATATACACACACATTTGTTTTCATAGATTTTCACGGGTGTAGGCATGTTGGTCCTGTTGTATTCGGGTCTACAATCTCTCTCTCCCCCGCTCTCTCTCTCTCTCTCTGTGTTTGTGTGTGTGTTTGTGTGTGTGTGTGTGTGTAGCAGTTGGTTTCTTTTTTCTTTTTCAGAAAGATATTGACATTATCTAAGTCTTTGGAAAATAATGATGGATTTGGTTAAAATCAGCTGCTAGCCTCATATAACCACAATGCCTGTTCTCTGGGGTAGGTGATGAAATGAAATGCCCCTCCAGATCTTATTAGGAAGAGAGGAGGCCAATGTTGCAAAGATAAAGGCAACTGTGCTTCTGGTTGCTAGGAGATGTAGGTCCCATCATGGCAACAGGGTCCAATCCCAGGAAATAACTAATCAGGGGTATCTGAATAACTGACAGGAGGAACACAGTGCAATGGGACATCTAAACAGTACCTCCGCCTCTTCAATTTTTTCTCTATAGAACAGCACTGACCATTAAGCAATGGCGACAGTTGCCATAGCAACAAACATATTGTTTTAGATGCTTAGCTGTGTAGGACTATAGGGGTACTATGAAAAGGAAGAAGGAAAATGAATGTAATAATACTGGGAGTTTTTAACACCAGAATTTTCTGGTTCCGAATTGAAGTCTATTTACAATATTCTGGTATCTAAACATACCTGTGCACATATTCACAGTGGGACACAACCACACATATGCATACTTGTTTTGAGGTTATTATCTATAGGAAATTGTTGCATATTTGTAGTAATGTTTATGTTTCTTTTTTACAAGTTAAATACTTAACAAACAAGCACAGAATCTATTTCCTTGAGACACTATCAACACATCTAGGATCTAGAACACAAGTTGTATTCAATATGTCATTATAAATTCCTTGTAGTCTGCTATAAAGCATCTTTTGGTTAGAAAAATATATTTCTAGCCTATCTCTTTTCTGAACCCAGAAATATTATTTTTGTTTGTTTGTTTGGTCAGTTGGTTTAGCATAATTTGGTTCCAGTAATCTTGATTTCTCCATAGTTTAAAGATCATTATTTGTTTTGTTCATTCTGATGGTTGCAGTATTAAATATATTTAGAAGCAGTAGAAAGAAAAGATCTCTCCCATTTAAAACTTTTTTTTTAACTCCAAAAGAAATGAAGAGGTTCATTCACAGCCAAAGAGAATGTTAGATTTAAGACTACACCAGCTCTTTAAGAAACTGTGGAAGGAGCCCCTGTGGACACTAATTGGCCTTGATAATATCTGGCAGACCAAAACTCCCTTGCTTTTTTTTTAAAGCACTACACAATCCTTTGAAAAGTGCAATTGAAATCTTTGCAGTGTTTGTCCTAGGTAAGTGTGTTTAGCATCATGATGCCATAGCACTTCAGTAGAAGGTAGAATCAAATAACGTAGGAAGAGATTCATAATTCTTTTAAAAGGATTTTAAAAGGGAACAAGTAGCCCTTTCTAAGGTTTACTAAAATATTTAGCTATACAACTGCATCTCTACATCAGAAGATGTCAAAATATGATCCAGCATGTCAGTAGGTCTTCTGTCAAGCTTCTTTTGGTAGTGGAATAGAGGCTGATGGGAGTTGTAACTGAACAGATCTTGGCTAGAGACACTATTTTATTCCCCTCCCCTCTAAATATGAAAAGCTAAATGGGGAGGGCTGTGTGAAAAAGAACATGCAAACATGCTTACACTTTCCCTTCCAAAAAAGGTAACATGCAAATTAGCTAGATTTACAACATAAGTTGTGATTCTCACTGTGCCCCTCTTTCTAACATCATTCTTTAAAAGAATGTGAAGAGAACAGAATAGATAATATCTGATCCATTTTTACGTGCTTTCAAACTGCTAGGTTGGCAGAAGCTGGGACAAATAATGGGAGCTCACTCTGTTACATGGCACTAGGAATTCGAACTGCCAAACTGCCAACCTTTCTGATTGACAAGCACAGGGTCTTAGCCACTGAGACACCGCATTCTGTGTATCTAAAACCTTAGGATAGTTTTGATTTGTACAATTTATCCTTCGAGATAATCTAATTCAAATTCAATAAACCTGCATTTGAGATATTGTACTTGAGGGGGAGGGGTCTCATCACCAATTATTGGTCTATTAAAAAGACCCACAGTCTCCCACAGAAATACCCAAAGAATCTCCTTGTAATGCTTATTTTCTATAAGAAACACAACAGTTTTAAGATGATCATTCAAGATCATTGTATTGTTTCAGTAAAATTTGCCAAATTTAAGATTTAGAATTGGAAAAACAATTCCAGGTATATTTACCATGCAGGGGATTTACTTCTGTTAACATTTACACAATTGACAGGTAAAAGGCGATGGGATCAGATTTTGAAATATGTAGGACTAAGTTGCTAGTTCAGAGACATAACAGCATGTAGTGATTATTTCCTATATTAACTGTTACTTAGTTTAGTTCTATATTATTGTAGGGGCATTTTTCATAGGATAAACCTATTTCCTCATTAAAATATACAAAACCGCTCTTTAAGATTCCTTTTCTCAGTCTTTCTCAGTAAAAGAGCGGGGGATGGTTGTAATATAAGATCTTTCTACCGTGGCTCCATATCTATACAATTCACCAGTAGAACTGAAATTCTGGAGTGTAAGGCAGCGGGCGAATTCCTGTTGCATCTGTAACAATATCTGTTCATATGAGCAAGAAAAGATCCCAAAAATAACAGTGCACAAAATGTTTAAATTTCAAATATATATTTTGGCTTTAAGACAATTGCTTTGCATTTGAAACAGACTGTCTAATCATTCTTAGACTGTTTAAACATTTGAAACAACTCTTAAAACACTTCAAAGCTGCTCAAAACCCCTAATGTCAAACATAAGCAACAGTTTCAAACATGAAGAAGTTCACTTTCAAAGTAATTGTATACAGAAATAAAGAATATTACTTACTTATATAAGATTATTTAGAAATAAAGAGTACTAATATGTATTGATTCTACTAGAGGCATAGTTACTGAAATCAGTTGAAAAGTTGGCCAACTTCTTCCTGTCTCCTTGAAATCTGTTCTACATCACATCTGCAAATTTGGCTGGATTTATAAAGTACATAAAATAGCAGTTACATTCTTATTATACTGTAAGAATTTTACAGTATAGTACAGTATACAAAATAACTCATTCAGTCCAGCAAGGAGCATTCATGGCCTATAAATGTAGTCCAACAATAGATCAGTATTCACAACTCAGAGAGCAAAACAGGAATACAGAAACAAAGATCAGCAATATTCAGAGGCTCAAAATTCCCATTCTGGACAAACTTTCTTATTTAATTTTGTCAAAATAGTTTGTCTTTTTAAGGAAATGCTTTCTTGCTATTTAGTGAGACCTTAAAGCATTTAATATATACAACATTTATGTAGTGCTCTTAGAGGATTTACAATCAAATATCTTGTGATGGTTTATGACAACACTAAAAAAGGTGAGTTTTATAATGCTCATATCATTAATTAGGGGCAGAGGCTGAGAGAAGCAGCAGTTGCCCAGGGCCAGTTAGAACGTGAAGTTAAAACTTCAACCTTCTACATCATTGGCACATTGACATCGGATCAAGTCAGCCCTCTATTTTACTTTAAAAGTGTCTTTTAAAATTGACTGTGCTCAAAGTTTTGTAAAAAACCTGGACACATTGTTTACTTGATGGTGAACTGTTTTGAATGTTTCTGAAAACAAATCCCACATGAATAAGAACTAAATGTAACAAAAATGAGTTGCAATGAGTCTCATGGAGTGTATCAGAGGGTGATCGAATACTGGCCTGATCAAAGACATTAATGGTTATATGCCAACTCACAAATAGATCTTTTGAAAGTAGATTCATGTGTAGGATTTTGAGCAGGTAGGTTCAGTAAAACAGAGAGTGCCATTATGTTTTCCAAAATGGAGCCACCAGTATAAGTTTTTGGCCTCAGAAACACATTGATTATATTGTCTTGATGAAAAAGGAAATGCTTTTTGTGTGCCTGTGTGCATTGATTTTATCACAGAACAATCTTAAGGGCAACTACCTTTCTAGAATTATACTCTTGTGTCAGGGAAAATGCAAGCTATCTATATCTCTGGCATCTTTTGTGTTAGAAAAAGCACCCTGGATTTGCAGTTTAAATGTGATGAACTGTCAAAATACATTAGATCCTATGTAGAGGAAAGATTGATGTTTCCTAATTAATTATTCTCTTCTTTCCAGAGTGGAAAAAAGAGAGAGGCCAATTTCCCAGAATGACCTCCTCAGCAGATTATCTGTTTTATAATAATTGTGTTCAGGAATTGAAAACCAAAATCAACTATAATTGCCATAAACTTAGAAATCATTTGTATACCCTCACTTGCACCTTTTAACCAAGGAAGAGAGAAAAGAAAAAAGAAAAAAGAAAAGAAGGATGAGAAAATAACTTAATAAGAAAAAGCCTTTGGCTCTTACAGCAGACTTGAAAATATGCACACATATGCTCATATAGAATAGATGTAGCAAAAATCTCAGACTGAAGTTTTTTGAGAAAAAGGAAATAGCAAACTCAGGAAATAAATTTGACCAACAAAAAAAAATTTACCAATTGATATTAATTTGAATCCACTTGGAGAAGTAATTCTACTCTGAAGTGACATGAAGCTTCAGAGGGTGAATTTGAGGTGCTATTCAAGGTGGTAGTGAGGGCATTGCTGATTCATAGACCATAATCCATTTGAAATTCTTCCATCCAAACCTCATCAAAATGATTGTTCACTGCTCTAGTGTTATTGTTGTCAACTCACATTAGTTTCAATGAGCCTTGCACTGGTAAATTTCCTGATGGATTATGTGACATGCTAAGTAGAAGAGAGGGGGATTCATTTAGATTTTCACTGCTTTGGATCAGTCCTATGGTCCCTTAATTCACATATATTCAAGAGTTTGAATATGTATGTAACAAGATGCCCATTGGCCAATGATATTAGTCTGAGGAAAATAAATAGAATATGACTGTTCTGATTCTGACAAGACATTCATAACATTACTGCTTTGAAAATATATCTGCAAGATTTCTGAATCAATGGTTGCATAACTGTTATTTATAAGGACCTTGAAAACCAAAATATTTCAGCTGTCAGAATATATAATTTTCCAAAAGAATAACTTTTAAAAAGAAATACGGTAGTAATAATAATATATGCATTTTAAGAAACAGGAAAATTGGTGCTGGTGGCTGTGAAATTTATGCACCAAATATCCTAAAAGAAAAAGTTGTGGCAAAAGGCTCCTTGGCATCAGTGAAAGCTCTCCGCGCTAGAGCGGAAATAAAAGTTTGGTGGTGAACAGCCCTGTCCTGAACAGGTGGGGAAGGAATTTTGGGGGGAAAGAGAGGTGACAGGACAAAACATGGCTGAGCTAGAATGAGCAGTCATATTAACTGTATGTCCAGAGTGATCACCAAGTTCCTTGTCAGCCCGAGGTTGATCTGTGGAACTTACAGAATCACAAGAGGTGGATCCCCTCCTCTCTTGGGGTTCAAAGAATTCCATGTCCTGGGAGGCAGTAGAAGGCAGAGAGCTGGTGAAGGCAGAAAAATCAAGGCTTGAGGATGCTGGTAGGCTGGGGAGCATAGGCAAGGAGGAAGCCAGAAGGCTATGAGGTGGCAGGGAAACTGAGGTCCGAGAAGAAGGCAATCTGCTTACAGGAGACAGGGAAGGCGATGTCTGCTCACAGCTGTGAAGGCAGACTGAGGTAGGGTTGGAGAAAGACTGAGTGGTAAGCTGGCTCTGAAGAAGATTCATGAGATGCTGTAACTCTTGGCTGAGTTGGGAAACTTCCCGATTCAGGTTGTTTATCTGTAGGGAGGCAAGAAAAATAAACAGAAAAGCAACACCACCCAGAATCTTTTTGGGAAATGTCATCAAAGCATTTTTATAATATGATATATTGGAACGATTATTTTATGCAGCACTAGTGGAAGATAAGCAACTAGCCTAAAATCCTTATATATCTAAGGGTAGAACATTAATATTCTTCAATATTAATTACCACAATTCTTCAGTCTATCATGTCCGTCCATGTTCATATTTTGTATCAAAGAAGGAGGGCTAGTTTCTAGCTGAGCTGCATGATTATGCTGAACACTTTTGGACCTCATTTTCTTCCTTGATTAGTGAAATAGGGCAGGTGCAACTGATCTTAGGAGTAAGGTTAGTTACTCAAAAGCTGATAAAAAGTCCCCTGCTTTGATTCTTTTCTGGATGTACAATTTTATTTGTTCTACAGTGACTCTTATAGTGCATCTAGATCTTACCTTCAGTCCTACCTTATTTATCACTGCCAAATATAAGATTTTATTTAAGCATACTTACACATACATAAACTCATATCTCTATATATTCATTTAATAGTATAATACTCAGATTGTAGGATTCTGGTACTAAATTTTACTCCTTTTAAGTCTTTAAGTCCTTTTATTAGTCATTTACTCACTTAGGTTCTATTTTTAATACAATATCCTGCTGTCCATAATTATTGTATTGTACTGCAACAAATGACATATGTACTCCTATTGATGTCGTAGAAATGTTTCAGATCTTAAGGAATTTTACTGTGCTTCTAGATAATGCCAACCTTTCCTCTCTATGTTGTGGCTTTCTGTGCTTTGTTTTTTAATTCTTTTATGATGTTGACAATTTAATTTGACAGTTAGTGACTATTAAAGATAATCATCCATAGAATTCGTTTTTTGTCATCCAACCTTCTTTCTTTTAATAAATTTCAGTGGGCGGCAGTTTTGGTCACTTGTCTACCTTTCTTTCCTCTCGTAATCAAATCCAACCCAGACAGCACCCTTATCTGTTTTAGCCAAAGTTCCTATTTTGAAATAAAATAAGGATTAACAGGGTACACAGTAAAGACAAATGCCTCTGAGCATGTATCACTAGAGTATACAGTAAAGCACCAATGCCCTTTCCCTACTCAATCAATCATTCAGTTAACTTCTCTGCAGAGTGGGAGGGTTCTTTCTAAAACTAATGACAGGTTAATCATACATAACTGTTCAAAAATTAAATGCTGCCTTCACTTTATGTTGCTTGATGATATTTGAAGATGGCAGCCTGATCAATTGAGAGGGACAAACTTTAAAGTAACAGCTGATGATATTAAAACCTTTAATTTACCGTAATCAATTCACACAAACCCTCTCACTTTTAGGGATGCTGAATGCATTAAAAATGGTCTCCTTTGTTTTGCCATTTCCACCTGGCCATCCTCTTCAACAGACTCAGCATAGAAAATAGGGAAAGCAACCAACAGAGAGAAAGAAATGGGGTGTTGTGGGGTAATCAGTGCCAATGATAATTTTCATGTTCAAAGTCGAGTAAAGAAGTCACACATATTTTAAAAGTTATATGATTATTAAATTCTAGACCAGGATTTCTATTCATGTCATCCTCTGTCCTGATGCCTGTAAGGCAATTGTAGACAAAAGAACCCCCGGGAAGGAACCCTAGAAAGTGAGGCCTGGTGAAGACATGGGGACTCTGGATAATCTGAGTTTTTCCATAGAATGCAGAACACAAAGGCAATTTAGAAAGATAATGGGGGGGGGGAAGGAATGGGCAGGCTCTGTTGCTAGGTAATTGTCACCGAATTTAAATTTTAAATTAAATTTTAATTTAAACTCTTACACCCACAGTCAGAAACGCCAACACAGGGGCTGTCTATGAAATTTACAGTCTCATCTTTCTTCATCTTGCCAGGGCAGAAAAAAAATACAACTGATCCAAAAAACAAATGTTGGATACAAGGAGTAATCTTTGGGGAGCATTTATTTTTTCCACAGCTTCAGGCATCAAGTGAGTGGGAAGGAGGAGGAAGGACCTTAGATCAGGGCCAGCTTTGCCATTAGAGAGAAGAGGCAATAGTCTCAGGTGGCAGATGCCAAAAAGCAGCAGTAGCAAAAACTGCTTGGTTTTGCTTAGTTTATTGGTTATCTATCTCTCTTGGAGCACTGATCTATCTACATCTTAAAAATAGGCAAGAAAATGGTAAAAGAAAACCTATCCACTCTAGATGTGTACAAATAACCAAGACCAAATAGATTATATTCCAGAGTTCTGAAGGTGCTGCCAGACATGATATCAGAACTTCTAAACCATATCTGTTAAAGATCCTGGAGCACCAGAGAACTGCCAGACTACTGGAACAGAAGCAATGTGGTTCCATTCTTTAAAAGGGGGGTGCAGGAACTAGAGCCAGGAAATTACATACCAATCAGCTTGACATCTATACTTGGGAAGACCCTGGAAAAGATAATTAAGCAATGAACTGTGAAACACCTAGAAACAAGCAAAGTTATTACTAGAAGCCAACATAGTTTGTCAAAAACAGATTATGCCAGACAAACTTTTTGCATTCTTTGACAAATTACTGGACCAGTGAAATGTGTGGACATAATTCACTTGGACTTCAGTGCAGCATTTGGCAAAGTAGACCACAACCTACTTCTTGGTAAGATAAAAATATGTGGGATAGACACATCACCACCAGATAGATTCATAATTGGCTGACCAACAACACTCCACTTGTAATCCTCACTGGAACTACAGCTACATGAAGGAAGCATGCAACGAAGTACCCCAAGATTCTGTCATAGTTCCAGGACTCTCCAACATCTTCATAATCTATTTAGAGGAGGGGATAGAAGGGGAACTCATCAAATCTGTAGATGACACCAAGCTAGAGGGAAGAGCTAACCATTTAGAAGAAGGATCTTGACAGACTTGAACACTTGAACACTGGATCCTATCCAACAAAATGTAATTGTATTGGTGAGAAAAATAAGATTTTAGTAAAGAAAAATAAATTCACAGGTTATAGTACTTAGCTCAACAGCGGTGCTTGTGAGAGGGATCTAGATGTCCTAGTGAACAACTATTTAAGTATGAGCCAGAAATGTGCTGTAGCTGCTAAAATAAGCCAATATGGTTCTAGGTTACATCAACAGAAGGACAGTATTAAGATCACATGAAGTGTACCGCTTTTTGCTGCTTTGTCTTTGTTTATACTTGATACTACTTTGGTAAGACCACATTTGGAATACTATATCCAGTTTTGGCTATCACAATACAAAAAGATTTTGAGACCCTAGAAAGAGTGCAGAAAAGAACAACAAAGGAGGCTGGAGGCTAAAATATATGATGAATGGTTGCAGGAATTGGATACTTTAACTAAGAGAAGGACTATAAGTGACATGATAATAATCTTCTAATATTTAAGGGCTGTCACAGAGAAATGTAGAGGGGCTGGGTGGGGCAGTCAACTTATTCTCCAAAACATCCAAGGGCAGGACAAGAAGTAACAGATGGAAATTTTTGAAGATGAGATATAACTTAGAACTAAGCAGAAATTTCCTGATAGTGAGAACAATTAATCAGTGGAATGACCTGCCTCGAGAAATTATGGATGCTCTTATCACTGCAGTTTTAAAGAAGAGTTTAGACAGCCATTTTTCCAGAATGGTATAGGGGTTGTACTAGAAAACCTCTAAAGTCCCTTCCAACTCTGTTATTCTTGCTTGTCTTTTTTATCCAACTGATCTACTGTATTCTAACTGAAAGAACTTGCTCTCATATCACTAGTACTAAACTAAGATTCAACTGGTAATTCAGTTAACTTCTGTAATGTGTAATGCATATATATCAAATTTCTCAGATGGTAAAGTAAATGCACTTTGCACATATGCAGACGTATTTTCATTTCAAATGTAACTTTATACTTTTTACAGCAAAGTTCTGATGCAATAAACAGATTTTAGGATGAAGTTCAATTGACTCTGTCCGCAAATTAAGGCTTGTGTCTTACCTCTTGATTCAGCTTTCTGATGTTGTGCTTTACCTCATCACTTTCAGTAGCTAATACGAGATTGGTTGGTCCTGTGAAGAAATCCAGAGAAATGAGGGATGCAATTGTAAATTGTTCACAGGTTGGTTTCTAAGTTATCTCTAATATCGGATTAATACTAAAGTGACTCTTTATGTATGGCTAAATAAGAAAGCCAAAAGAATAGGGTCATATATCATTTATACTGAAATGCAACATCTTTCCCATTGCATTATGTCTCACTTAATGCAAAGAACTGTGCTCCACTGACCAATCTGTCTGCTTTGTTTAACTACCAATAAATAACTTCAAACCTTTTCCTGCTTCTCTTCTGGGCTTGAACTGCATATATTTCAAAGAGGTCGGCTTTGAACAAAGACCTAAAAGTATTTTTTTTAAAAAAAATAAAAAATAAAAAAATAATGTCCCAAGAAAACATAAGGCTTACACAGAAGATAAGCCTGTTTTTTTTGGGGGGGCATCATTTTTTTGGGGGGGAATGGCATCATTTTGAGGGGGGGAATAGCATCATGGGAGCTTTGGAGGTGGTTTACAGGAATATACAACATTTAAATCTTTATGCAGGGAAGAGGAAGAGAATGTTACAGAATCAGTTTCATTTCTGATAAAGAATTGATATTTGGGTGGAACACAGATAGAAGAGCTTTCAGTTATGTGAGCCTCCTCCAGCAGCAAAAAAATGGTACAGGCTGGACAGAATGTCAAATATTTGAAAAGAAAAGTTGAATCCCACAATCCATCTATACATTTTTCTATATATTTTATAACTTGTTGCCCAGAGTCACCTTATAAGAAAGATGGGGGGGGGGGGATGAAAATTTAGCAAACAAACAGACACACACACACAGAATAAAAATGTTAAGCAAGTCTAACTGCATGCCTTGATTTCACTTTTTTAATGGAGAAGAGTCAAGATCATGCTGGTACTCTTAGCAATAGAAGACCAATATATTTAGAGAGCACCAGTTAGGGGAAAGCAAATTTAGTTTATAGTATTATTATTTATATTCCCTATTTTTTCTGCTAGGAAATGATAGGCTAACTTGGCATTATGTCCTATTTTATAGAGAGTAACCTGCCTGATGACTTCTGTTTCAAGGGCAATTTAATGTAAATCCCATTTAAAGGTAAAAATCCTAGAAATGGAAATCAGGGCTGTTGAAGTTGTTCATCAATAATGAAGACCTAGGCTGAATATGGAGACATGGTGGCTCAGTGGCTAAGATTTTGAGCTTGCTGATCAAAAAGGTCAGCAGTTTGGTGGTTCGAATCCCTAGCATCGTGTAATGGAGTGAACTTCCATTACTTGTCCCAGCTTCTGCCAACTTAGCAATTTGAAAGCATGTAAAAATGCAAGTAGAAAACTAGAGACCATCTTTGGTTGGAAGGTGATAGTGTTCCATGTGCCTTTGGTGTTTAGTCATGCCGCCACATGACCATGGAGACATCTTCGGACAGGGCTGGCTCTTTGGCCTTGAAGCAGAGATGAGTACTGCCCCCTAGAGTCAGGAATGACTAGTACATATGTGCGAGGGGAATCTTTACCTTTACCTTTACCTTAGGCTGAATATACACTCATAGATCACATGTTCACAGTTTTCCTTATTATGCACAGTAGTTCAGTTTAAATTATTTCTCATTTCAAATTGGTATATTATTTGGTATTTCCGTATATTTAATTTTGGGGCATTGACTATAACGAATTCAACTATGCTAGTCAAGAGTTCTGCAGCATTAGTTTGCAAAATAGTCTCCCTAAAAGAATATAAATAATATCTTTGTGTATAGCCACACTAGACAATTGTGAAACAGATTGCAAACTACTTTATTAGCTATCTTGAAGCCATTGCTCTCCAACCCCCGTTTGAGCATATGAGGTAATCCCTATCAATTAGCATTATCCATCAATGCTCATTTAAACATAAAATCTGCCAGTCTCATTCAGCTATTGAAAAGGCATTGCTCTTGCATTTCAACTAACATATAGTTCTACAAACGTCAATGGTTTATTAGTGCCAATTAGCAAGCAGGCTGCATAACAGCTAGGTCATCTAACAACACTGTCCACTACCATTTTGGTTATTATTTTTCTATTTCATTTAACAATGGTAAGCTAGGAAGCCAAAACAAAGTCATCCATTAAAACCTCCTGTTACCAAGATATATAACAATATTATATGAGGTTTTTCCTGGAATGCTTTTTAAATCAAAAGAGCTCATTCGGGGGACAGGACCTTGACATAGGTTTCACAAAGCAACAGATGGCAGGGCAAGATGAAAAGCCAGGGCAATAGTCACACTATGTGGAAAAATACAGAACTTTCCTGAATAGGGCCCTTTTCTCAGAGTTTTCTCAAAATTGACAAATATACAGTCTACTCTGAGGATTCTTTAGGACAGCACAAACAATCAGAAAATGTTTCCTGATGAGAAACCATAATCAAAAAGAAGATAATAAAAAATAAATTAATATACAATAAAACAAATAATATGCAAACAATAAACACTTTTACATCTATTCCTTAAAATATATAATTTCATCAACCAGATGCCTTTTGATAGGTCTGGTGATGTTTATCAAAACTTTGGTGCTTATATAAAACTAAGCATAGAAACAGAAGTATTATTTTTTTACGAGACTTGACATCTACGAGTTACTGACCAGTATTAGTGAGTTCCATACATATGAAAGGTGGAGAAAGAGAATTATTTTTGGCTATTGCTATTTACAGTGATTATGTTGAAGTCTAATTAATGGGTAAAACTCTATGGAAGTTTGTGACTGTGGAACAGAGAATTGGATTGTGTGATTTTTGTTAAATTTATTTTCTATATAAATAGTTCATTTACAGTGATAATTCATGAAAGCTATTTGACAAAAATAGTTCTTTAATTCACATTTTATATAAGATCCGAAAGATTTTGGTCACATACGTGCTCCAGTTAGTTTATATTTAATTTCATTTGATTTTTTTTTGTAAGAATATTGACAAATATGTAGAACAAATTTGTTATCTGGCTTTCTAGTTACCCCTCATTTTTAATATTAAAATTCTTTAACTTGCACTATTGCATTTTTAAATATGATTATAATTTTATTCCCTTTTTGTTGTTCACAATAGCAGCAAACTCAAAGAGCTAGCTTAATAAGCCAAGTGCAATTGGCTATTGGCTATTGGCTTTTGGTTTCTCCCTTTCCAAACAAACAGAAAATCTTCAATTATTGTTTCCTATTTTATCAGATCTGTACAGCAATGAGGAAAAGATTCAAAATTAGCCAAACTCAGGCAATTTATTTTTCCATTTTTGTTCTCCCTTCCACTCTGCCTTCATGATTACACATCATAATTTGATGACAAATTGCTGGTTTTCAGTAAGTTGATTTTTCATATTTGTTGAGTCTAAATTGATACTGTGCTCATGGACTTTTAGGGCCTTCGTGGATTTTTAGGGCCAAGTATTTCCACCCATACATTTCACCTCTGATATCAATATAAGATCAGTATTATGCTTCCTGAAAACATTGGAGCCAAATTTTAGACAGAAAAAAATGCAAACTAAGTCTCATCCCACTCTAAATGCTCATAGTCATATCAAAGCATGGATGTTTCCAGAATTGGGAATCTTAGCATTGGTAATAAAAATTATCTCTATAGACAATTTCTCTTTTTCTTCTTAGGGGATTGGGAATGGGAGAAGTTAATAAGAAGGATGAGTGAAAAAAATATGATTTTTTAAAAAGAAAAATGATTTATTTTCTAAACTCATTTAAAATTCTATGATTGAGTTAGGACAAAAGAATATTAAAAACCTAGTCCAAAAATGTTCCATTTTATATAGATATTTTAATAATTAGGCTTTTTTTTTGAGTTATTAACTGTGGTTTTTCAACTAGTTCAGTTTACTTAGTTGAAGAGTTTCTCATGGGTCCTCACCCGAAAAAGAAAATGTCAAAAAAATTATCTGTTCATATCTCAGTTTATATATTTTTTATATTATTAAATATAAATAATATATTTTGTCTAAAATATATACTGCACAACATTTCTTCATTATAATAATATCCTGTCCTTTGCATATAGGTTCATGTATACTATTGCCCATTTTGAGATGCAACATTTTTGCAAAATCTGAGGTATCCCAACATTACACTGAGCCTTGACAAATAAACTACTAAAAGACAGTTGCATAGAATTAGAATGACCAGGGAAGAAATGCATGTTGAAGATGACTCTGAAAAGTGAAGCCAACATTTGCAACTAAGAACTGAGAGCTGGTGAGTAGGCTTCAAGTTTTTCTGAATGAAGAGAGATCATGAGATCACCCAAGCTGTGCTCCTTATGGCTGTCTTTTTTGAGGACACTGCAAGGCCTGATCTCCAAAGGATGGGATGAGATAACCAGGAGCAGAGAGAACTTGCCATATTTACTCTAGCCATGAATGTAGCCTTTCAAAGGACTTTAATTTTGCAGTTCTTTTGCTAATCATTTTTTGGAAATTACCTGTTAATTGCTTTAAAGAAGTTATGAACTTACAAAATGATATGTTTGGATACACCAGAGAGTACCTTCCATCCCCAATAAATGTATGAGATGTACCTTTATAATCTTTAAAAAATTAAAATAAACAGCAAAAAGTAAGACAATGTTTTGTTTCAGAAAATTTTGAACAATTAAAGGCTCAGAAAACAACAGAATGCTGGATTTTGAATATTAAGACTTTGAAATTACTTATAAAGGATAAATACATTTTAGTGGGAAAGAAAAACTTTTTGATATTGGAGACATAAAAAACAAGCAATTTATAATGGAGTGCAGGGAGATTTTTGAGGAACTACATTACAACATTGAATCAATAGTGTCAAAGTGTTATGTCTTCTTGGGAGCAGTCTGTTCCCCAAAGAAAATGCTACAGAGAAAGATATGCAACAAAGTTTTGAGAATAACACAAACAAAAATTTGAACAAGAATTTGTCATTAAACATTTTAAAAAATGGATAAAAATTAAGGAAATAAAATTGACACTCACAGCAATTGTATTTTGCTAGACTGTTTAAAGTTTTGAGGAAATTTGAAACAAAAAATAATAATCATTTGAATGGATTCAAGAGTAACACTGTTTTATGTAAAAAGAAGGAATACAAACCTGGTTTACCTGTTCAAGGTTGAAATGGTTATTCTGGGTGAGTGTTTTGATTTGTGGCATGTGGACTATAAAAATATTGTGATTGCTTATAGTTACCATGGTGTTTAAGATTTTTTCCCTCTAAATTACTTTAAGCATCCTATTTTGACAGCATCTAAAATGGCTTTGTATCTACATTAACTGTCCTTTCATTTAAAGTAAGGAATTTTTGTCAGTTTGTTCTCTTTAAACAGGAAACTATCATTTTTGCCATGTCAAATCTTAGTCTTTTGTTTATACTATGATTTAGGGATTACTTTATGCCTTCTAAATATGGATTTGGTTATAGTTAAGAATTGAGATATAGAATATTTATTTGAATGAACATGTTATTGGGAATGCTTCTCTTTTGACTGCTGATATCTTAAAATAGAAACATGTTGTCTATTGGATTTGCTTACATTAACATGATGTTTAAGCCTATTTCCCTATAGTTTCTTTATCCTAATCTTGTAGCATTTAAATTGGCTTTGATTCTAATTGTTTTTTTATTTGAAGTAAGGGATATTTATGAGCTATGGGTGTGAAGCCTTCTTTGAGCTGCTGAAAGGACTGTGTTTTTAGACTGGAGATAGATGATGTCATATCCCCAGCCCTTTGCTGAGAGAGGGCTCTTTAATTTTGACATAAATGACCTCTTTCAAATAAGTGTTTCTCTCTGTTCAAAATGTGAACTTTATCTTCTGATTTAGATTTAACTTCTGATCTGTAAAGTACTGAAGACCATCTCTTCAGTTGTCAAGGTTACCTGGTAGCATAGGATCCTGCACCAAAGTCTGCTGGGGTTGTTCCACATTAAAACTAAATGTTTGTGTCTCTGATGCTCCTCTGTCATCTTCAATGCCATCAACAATTCTAGAGAGGTGGGAACAGGGAATCAACCAAGAGTTATGGGACAAAAAATAAAGCTCCACATTCAAAAGCTCTTTTTCTATGAATGAGAGTAAAGAACAGGTGCCACCTTTCTCCCTTTCTTCCTGTGGGTCCCCTATGACAACTGGTGTTCTGCCCTTGTGCATAAAACACACAAAATTGATTTGCAAATTCAGATCTGCATTGCTAATGAAATGGATAATATATTATCCAAACCTGCATAATATGTAACCCACTGAGAAAAATTACTCATTCATATGAAGTGGGAAAGCAGACTTTAAATGGGGGCATAGTTATACATATCCACAAGAGATTAAAAAAAAATCTAGGTAATGCTGGCCCAAAATATTTGGCACATGTTACAGAAAATCAAAATGGTTCAATCACTTTTTCTGGCTAATTAAAGTGGAGCATGACCTAAGCGGGGGTGTCAAACTGGCAGCCTGTGGTCCAGATGAGTCACACATAGGCCATGCCCACCCCTGCTCCCGAGGGAGGGAAACATCACGAAACATCACGTGACAGCAATGTGACGTGGTGAGTTTGACACCTGTGATCTAAAGGATAATTATTAAAGAATATTACCATAAAGGGCCACCAGATCAGGATTGAGCTCAAAAGGAATTACACAGGAGCTAATCATTTTTGACTGATTTCAAAAAATGAAGTAAAACCATAAATTGCATTGGAAACCACCAGGGCTGTGGGTTAGACTGGGATGTTGGGGGGAAAAAACATCCTTGAAAAAGTAAGTAGCAAACCCACTTCAATCTTCTTGTCAACAAAAGCACAACAGCATATCCATATTTTTTTTCTTTCTAGCATTTTGCCTACTACCATAGTGCAGGGTCTATATTGGGAGAAGGGGGGTATCAACTGAGCGTTGATCCATTGGTTGCACCAGGAACTGACTGACCCGCTTGTTGGATGAGCCTGGCATTTGGAGCTGAGAGTGATTGCCCAAAATCACCCAGCCAAGTTTTATGTCTAAAGCAGGACTAGAACTCACTGTCTCCTAGTGTCTGGCCCTAAGTCACCCAGCCAACTTTCATGTCTAAAGCAGGACTAGAACTCACTGTCTCCTGGGGATTGCCCAAAATCACCCAGCCAGTTTTCATATCTAAGGCAGGACTAGAATTCACAGTCTCCTCATTTGAGTCAAGGAAGTATTTATCTGTACTTTAGAAAATGACATACAAGAGTATGTATGCTATTTGGCCAAATCCCATATTTTGAGAAATAGCTGCATTTTTAATAGGCTCTGTCCAGATCAAAGACTGAGTGCTTTCCCTAGTGCCTTGTTAATGATTTAGAAATTTGTACTGGAACAGATCTGAAAAACAATACCTTTTTTGCCAAGGAAAATGTAAAATCAGAAGAGGAAGGATGCAGAAGTAGTAGTATATTTATAACCCTTGAGTAAACTAAGTTATAAAGGAGTTTATGGGGGCTCTCTGACTATTAATTATTAAATCTACCAGCCTGCAACAAAAGAGTTAAAAGAATATTGCTGCAATCTGTGGGATCCACACCAAATCATTATGACCTATGCTCATATTCTTTAAATCCCATCAATCATGATACATTACTACCTAAAGAAAATAATTATGGATTGTTCATCATAACTTCTCAGTTTCCTATACATTCCCTTCTGAGATTTAATAGGTTCCTATTGAGAAGCATGTCTAATAATTGTTTTGGAATTGGGCAATGCCAAATCAAAACAAATAAACAAATAATATTATTTTCATAACAAACTGCCAACTAAAACCATAGAAATAGAATGTGATAAAACTATCCCTTAAATATATACAATTATATCATAAATAAATGAACAAAGCTCCTGAAATTCTGAAGACTTCTTAGGGCTACTTCTGCCATATTCCATATTTATAAAAATCTTTTCCCCAAGGCATTCTCTTTTGGTAACCCCCTCCTAACAGTAAAACCTGCTTGTTCATAAAGATCTTGAATCTATCAAAATTGAACTTGACAAGCTTGATCCTTGCTGAAGGGGGAAGCTATGCCTGCAAATTTTCCCTACTTTTACTAAACAAATATAGGCATACAACAAAACCTAAAGCTCATTTACATATTTAATTGATACTTGGTGTTTTATATCTGGAGTAAATTTCCCTAGAAATTAAAATCAATTTGACCAAACTATTTTTTTAAACCTAGGAAGTAATAGAATCACTTAGATTACGGGTGTGAAACTCATAGCATTACATTGCCATCACATGACAAATCGTGACATTTTCCCCCTTCACGGAATGGAGTGGGCATGGTCTGTGCATGTCACATCTGGCCCTTGGGCACAACTTTGACACTCCTGACTTAGATTTGCATTTGGGCCAAAATTTCTAAAACTAAAGAAATGTAAGCTGCTAGTTGAGGTTAAAACAGAACATTGTATTTGGATCAAATCTCTTCTACAGTTCAATCCACACTAAGAACAAATGGTGTATTATATTTATATTTCATGAATTAAATCAAGACCATGATGAGACCCTCTTACCTGGGACTGAGGTCTGGAGGCCCGGAGTGTGTGAGAGAGGGAATGAGGAGTTTGTTAGGCTTCTGGCCAATGAGCTCCTCACTGTCAAAATGATGCTCCTCCTGACGGCTTCGTGGAGAAGGACTGCGGACCCGGTTACAGCGGACTGGAGACCGACAAGTTCTCCTCAGGGCAGAGAACTGACGCAAATCATCTCCCAGAAGGCTGCTGAGAGAGCCCCGCCTTACTGGGCTGTTGAGGTTGGGCAACATGATTTTTCGACGTGTGATTGTGGCAGGTGATGGCTGAAAGAAGTCATCAGAGTCCTCACTGTACTCCTGAATGGAGGGTAGGGTCTTCTCGGCAGCAGTAGCACAACTTTGAACATGAGGCTGGCCAGGTGAGAAGAAGAAAAGTAATGGCTCAGGAAGAAGAAGAACTTGTAGACTTGTAGCCTACTTAACTTTAAATTCTTCTCTCACACTAGCTGGGTTCTTAGAGCATGCTCAAACAATTTGCTGATGTTCTAAAGTTTGTGTTTGTTGACTTTGGTAGCGGTTGAGTGGCTTAACATGCAGTATTATCTAAACATAAGCCAAGTTGGATACTTTTTGATTCAGTATACTATGGAAACCAGAAAATGATTACCTGCTCTGAGTAATCAGAACCCAGCTATTGTGAATATAAAAAGTGGTACAGTACTTAAAATATAAATGATCTCCAGTAAGCAATTTGTGCGTGAAAATGCCCTTGGGTTTCAAATGTTCATTTATCGTTGTAGTCCACTTTTTATACCTTTTAAAGTATAGATATTGATCTTGTAAGGTTAGCCAATTTTTCTTCCCATTTTGTGGCTTTTTGGTAACCAGGATGAAGATAAATAATTGTATGAACAAACTAAGAATAGCACATGAAATAAATTGATATGCCAACCCAATCTTGAAAAAGAAATTTTATGAGAACAAAAGCAATTCTGGCTAAAAATCTGAACTCAAATCCATACCAGTTCGCAATCTAACACAAAAATTCACTTCACCATAAAACGTAGTTTTTTAATATCAGATTTGTCTTTCAATTTTTTATTTTGGATAGAAAGAATAATTATAGGCAATCAAACTTGAGTCATCATCACAGTACGGTGAAATAGGATGAAAAAGATTCTGTGTCTGAATGCCCTCATCTGTGTAGATCAGGCTGAGAGGACATTTTCAGGATATCCCTATGTGTCGCTGTTCATCAGTCTGGAAAATCTTCTATATCATTCTTCTGCAGTTGGATACTTTTCAGATGCATTGAAATTTTAATATGGATTTCTACACAGATATGGAGTTAAATGTAAAGGCCTAGATAAGATTGTAAGTACAACTCTCCACAAAGTAAATCCCTCAATTACCCCTTGCCCCCAGAATGACCATTCAGGGCTAAGTAACCCCATAGCCAATGCAACTGAGGACAGGCAAAGGAAATGGAAGAAAAAACTCATACCATCTCTTCATTCTTTCTGTCACCACAGTTATATACACAGTTATATTTGCAGTTATATATGCCTATGAGGGTTCACCTCATGTCCCTAGTCCCCCAAAATGTTGCCCCCCATTTCTTTGCTTTCTGCTTCTAGCTGGTGATAGCTGACAAAACCAGATGAGGTGGTACCTATGGTGGCTCTTACATCACTTGTTTCCTCTTACCTACAATATGGGGGCTCCATGAGGGTTATTTCTGCAGTTGATTTGATTTGATTTGATTTAATAAATTTATAGGCCGCCCAATCCCGAAGGACTCCAGACGGTTTACAGAAAATAAAAATTTAAAAGTAAAGAGTTAAAAACGGAGGAAAACAGATTAAAAAAACCACATCATGCACCCAGTCTAATCGGGGCTGGACCTTGGTCATGAGGTCAACAGCCCCAGGCCTGCTGGAATAGCCAGGTCTTGATAGCCCTTTCGTAAGGCCATGAGAGTGGGCAGGTTCCGGATCTCTGGGGGTAGTTCATTCCATAGGGTCAGAGAGGCTACAGAGAAGGCCCTCCCCCGGGAAACCGCCAGCCGACATTGTATGGCTGACGGCACCTGGAGAAGGCCCACCCTGTGCGATCTTATTGGCCGTTGGGAGGTGTGCGGCAGAAGGGTTTCACTATATTTATGCAAATGTGACTAAATACCAATTCTGTAATTTTATAACTTCCTCTATTCCCAGCCCAGAATTTCATTCACATCCACACTCTCCTCCAAATCCACCATAATCCAATGAAAAAACTTTGCCTACTTTTCATAAACTTTAAGTTACCTGGGATAAACGTGGAGATCTGGAAAACCGGAGAAGCCCCTGGAAGAAAAACAAAGACAAGAACATGAAAAGATTTAGTTAATTACTTTTCACAAACATATTCTTTTCTCCGTGTCTGTGTTGGAGGGGAGGTATGGGGTTTTTTTGGCACTAGTGTACTGTGAAATTCTTTGCCCTTGCCTGCTTTCATCTATGTCTGAATCATCAAACGCAACCAGTTTCTTCAACACAAGCTACATCAAAGTCATCAACAAGAAATCAAATAACATACCAATGATCTTCAGAAGAGATCCAGATAATTTCCTGTACTGGTGATGCAACAATTGTGGTAAGAGATACTGTAAACTGAGAGTCAGAGCTCATAGGGCAGAGATGTCACTTATGCCAACAACTAATTGGTTTCAAGGCCAGGAAGCACAAGATAAAGACTCTATTAAACCATGTGAAAGATAGGAAGAAGAAGGGACAGACCCCAGCTCTGTTATCCTATGTGTTATGGTTAAACATCTGTAGGTATAAGATGGGAATAGCAGCCTTTGCAAAAAACAGAATTGCTCTTCCATTTGGCTTTATGTTCTGTGTCATATAAGTCTGAGTTTAATAACCAGATTAAATGATGTGAAGTTAGGGGATTAATATTTATTGTGAGTTTGGCCTAGTGAACCCAATATCTACCAGCTGAACAGAGATGGCATAACTGGCCAACAGTGCAACAATGGGATGCAAGAATATTGCTGCTTCAGGACTAGTATAAGTAACACTTTGCTGGAAGTTGTTTTGATTGTCCTGCTTGCATGGAAATGTCAGATACATATCAAAATATAAGCCAATTATAGCAAACACTAATCTTTGCCTACTAATCCTGCTTTATTTCTTTCCTTTAGGTCAGCAGTCCAAACAAAAAGATTTTTTTAAATTATTCAGTGAAAACAATTGATCACCTAAAATAGTGTCTTATTAGTGAAGGTGGCAAATCAGATGAGAATTCTACTAATCCACACATTCTTTTAGAGTAGAAGCAGCAATTATGTTTTAAACTCTCCCCTTCCGATAGAGGTTCTGTTTGTTCATAATAATGTACTGTACACAGAGAGTTTCTTTGCTTTGTTTAATGAGCCTAGATTGAAGTTGCCATAATGCTAACTCTTCTCTTTCCCCATGTGCATTTATCCTAGCTGAACATATGACTTAATAAGATTTCTCTATTGCTAGTCTGCCCTTTCTTCTTGCAAATAGGTTTTCTCTTCTCTCACCAATTGCATTTATTCCTACCCAACAGCCTAATAGTAACACTTTGCTGTTTGGGAGCACAAACGTGTACCTTGTCATCATACCAGACAGGTGAAGGCAGAGAGGAATGTCCATATGCTATATTAAAATATTAGAATGAGTTAGAAAAAGGATGCTGGTAGTTATGAATTACATTACGTTAGCCCTGTACAACTCGTAGTATGGGGAGGAGGTCCAACTGATAAATTAAAAATAATCACAGGCTTAAATTCTTGCTACAGAGTGGTCTAAAAATATAACAACTTAGTTTTTGAGAAAGGAAAACTGACCTGACATAAAGCAAACCAAAAGAGGTTAAGTTACTTTTGGTTGATTGACTGGTCCTGGATGAATCTGCCTGCCCATAATCTCCTGGTTGAGAATAGTCCCTTTGAGATGTTACTGGGGAGCATGTTCTCAATAACATACTCCCAAAGGCAAGGACAGTACATGCTAGTACATGGGAGCATACTATTTCTTTGCCTTTCAAAAGGTAATGCAAAATGTTCTCCTCCAACAAGCCCTGGGGGAAGAGGGAGCTGGTGAATTGGTGATAATTGCCCAGGGGGGAGGGAGGAGTAGAATTAGTAGAATTATTAGGTAATGCACTTTTCTACTTTGATGTTAGTAGGATTTCATTATTTCCAATAGAAGCTACCTAGAATCTATAGAGTAGGTGTCTTATAAGAGAAGGAAAGAAGGAAGGAAGGAAAACATAAATAAGCAAGTTTCCCAAATCAAAATATGCTCATTGACTAAAACAGTTAAAAACTCTATTCCTAGTCATTTTGATGCAGAATAAAGCTATTAAATATTGCTATTTAAGATAACAATAGATTGTCATCAGGACAACAGGCAGCACATCATTTGGAATATCAATATACTGAGAGCAACTGTAAGAAAGTTCTATTTAACTGATGTATAGCTTCAAACTATCTGAACATATATTTCCAAATATTCCCAAGTAGTCCATATTTAAAACCCTCTGATTTATTCAGGGTTTTCTGATCATCTGTGTAAGACTTATTCCCATTGATTAGATAAGTGTAAAGTAAATTCTACTCTCAGCAAAAGTCTTTTTAGACCATGGGGTACAGAGCTTAGGCAATTCCTAGAAATAAATTCTAAATTCTCTTGCTGCATGAGAAATTTGAGATTTAGATGTTCAGATACAGACCTTGTTTGGATATGTGCAAATGTTTTTGTAGGTAAAACCCTAAACCTTGCATTAAAAGTTAAATTGTCAGATTGATTTGGAAACTCTTATACGAGGAGATTCAGTACTTAAGGACTTCAGGTCTCATTCCTAGATTATCAAGTCTCTCTCTTCCCTCCCTGCTATGATTTAACATAATTTAAAACTATAATTGCAGCTTTAATTAGATGAAATTTGTATAACTGTATGGCTACTTTCAGATATAGCAGCAACATCAAATGTAACTATGCCAGCCCTGTGGCATTCTTGCCTCTCAAACAGGAAAAGAAAAGTATACTTAACATTGTTTTTTGAATCCTTGGTTGTAGGTTAACTTCAGTATGCATTTTCTTCCACGTAATGAAGAAATGTATTAATATGGGGATGTTCCTAGTCTCTCTGCATCTGATATCTATATCTGTAAATTGTGCATGAGGAAACAGAGTGGTCTATACATCCTTTGCTCTGGATAACATAGCTAGGAGGGAATGAACTTATATACTGTATGTAATTTCTTTCCAACGTTTTGTTGGATTGTGAGAATAGCAACCAAGAATATTAACCAGAGAATTGTGGGTGTGCTGAAGTCCACATATCACAAAGGTTTGGAGGCTGAGAAACGATGGTCTGCATAACTATGGTAACCACACTGGAGTTGATATGGAATAAAATCAAATCCCCCTTTCCTGTTCTACTTCCTGTAAAGACAAAATATAAAAGAAGCAGAGAACTTCCTTTCCCTTATACATAGAAAAGCCCTGTCAGAGTGGAAGCACTAGAAGACTAGTGTCTTGGACAAAGAAAATTTCTGCGAAAGTCAAATGTTCTTCACTTGGAATGACTCACTCTGCCAGAACGAAGAGCTAGAGGCAAAGGGAAATGTCATCCTTATCCACCTACCTCAATCTCACTACCCTCACGTAGGTTGAAAGTGAGGTCCTGCTGGATGTCTGCCATGAATTTGGCAGAATATTCAGGGTACAACTCCAGAACCTCAAAAAGTCCACGTAGGCTGATGTATTGGAGGTCACAGTAGGTCAGTGCCTTAACATCTGCATTGGTCTTGATGACTTGGTCTTTACTGGGCAGGTCAGCACCAATAAGATCTCCTTTACCTACAAAAAGTCAAGGTTTGGGATATGTATGAATGGGTCAGGAGGCAGAGAGGCTATTGCAGCCTCTGCCTTTGTATACTCAAACAATACTTCAAAGTCATAGAATGACTGGCTCACAAGTTATGCAAAGCCATCAAATAATTTGCTTGGTTTTCATTTAGAGTTTTGGGCTATCCTCTATATAATATGTAAATCATGGTTGATGACTTAATGGAATGTGTGAGTTTGGGCCACTGTTACTAAATCATTCCATAGTTGTAAATAACAGTTTATCTCTAAGTACAAATGCAGACACTGTCTGGACCTTTGGACAAGAATTTTGCCTGCTGAAGATGGATTGTTTTGCTATTCTTTCTTTTTTATTTTTATAATAATTGTAACAGTTCTAAATTGCCTGCTCTCTTAGTTCCTACCACTCTTTTCCATAGCTATGCTAAAACAGATGTACATCTGTTGGAAATATTTATTACAATTTCATTTTTACAAAAAAGAGGAAATAAAAGCAAGAAACAAGTTTTACTCAGATTACCTTAATTTTTTGTTCCATGTAGTAGATCCCCAAAGCACTGAAAACTTGGGTGGGAGAATTTGACCTTCTTTTATTGTACAGAAGATTTCCCTAAACATGGCTTCTTCCCCCACCTGGCGATACTGGCTAGCAACTCTGGACATTACTCTCAACATATCTGGAGACTACTGTTGTAATATAGTTGCAGAGCCACGCTGAATCACACAGGAGAAAACAAACTCCTAGAACGCCATAACATCCTGATAGGGCATAACATAACATTCTGAGATGTGCCCTACCATTGACGTCCAGGATTTGACCATATATAGACTGAGCAGTAGATTAGAAATTGTACTTTTGCAGGCTGTATTTACTCACATGCTATTGCTCCTCCTGCCTTTGTCCTATCTCAATAAAAGGGGCTCTCAGACCCCCAATCTGGGTTGTCGCTCCATCCCGAGAAAGGTTGTCTCCTGTCTTTTCTCAACATTGGCCTCATGGGCAAACCACCAGACTACTGACACTCTGAATCAGTTTTGAAATTGACCTTTTGCTAGATGGTGAATAAGTTCACACATCATGCCAGCTAGAGCTTCTTTAATCAAGGTGTATTGAATGAGCACCAATGGGATGGATTCACACATTCATTTCTGAAACTCCTGCCCAACAAGCCGCTCAGATTTGCTCTTTTAAACGACTTTTTTTAAAGCTAGACAGATTTCTTAAGCCTTGTTCTGTGAGTTCCTGTACTTGTTAGAGATGTCTAAAATGTATACCCGTCACCCACTTGTTGTTTTGTCAAAGAGCTTATCTGTAGTTTAACCATTTGCTGAACTTCACTTCACAGCAAACCAGGTCAGCATTCAATTACACTTTCTATAAGTCTTTCCAATGGTCATATTAATATGCTTTCTTCTTTCCTTGATTTGGGAGGAAAGTATAAATTGTTCTGCCAACACAGCCAACATAGATTACCATAACCATTAACAATAAACAAGATTAGATTAACAATAAACCAAGTAATTTTGCTACTTGGACACAATTTTATGCTGGATATCTCCAAAGCAGTCCCAACTGTGCTCTCCGGTTGTCAGCAACTAATGGGAAAAACAGCCACCTGTTGTATCCCTGAACATTGGGAATTCAAGCCTTACTTCTTTTCTATTTATCTGCCCTTCATTTTTGTTTTCTACAAAAATATCTGCATTCTTCTGACATTAGTCTCATCTTTTGATAGAGAGATCTGATTCCCCCCTCTCTTTATATGGGAATATCATACTCCCATAAGTTCTATATTTTTGTCTGAGAAATGAGAGTCTCCTGTAATGATATCAAACAACATCTCCCAGCCCCAAACCTGCCTGAGTGCCCAGAAGAGCAAATTTGGAGTACAGAGGAAAGGAGCCCAAAATAGCTCTCAGTGCTATTTTGCTTCTGGATCATCTTTTCCCTCTTGGAATCAATTTCCCCCATTAACCATTTTTTTTGTTAAAAACTCTTCATGCTCTCTTCCCCCTCCATTATCCTATGTTTTTGGAAGTCTGTCACACTTTCCCTTCCTTATGATCTCTGCAGTGCATGCATGGACACCCAGGAATAACTTTATCAGATGTAGCAATAGAAGATTTGCTGGCTGATCTCCAAATAATTCAATATTTCGGTATAAAGAAAAAAGATCAGGTGTCTGGTCTATCTCACTATCAAAGCCAAAAGATTCAACAATTGGATGTGGAGGTGTTTCTGCAGTAGTTTTGTAGGATCAAATGAACATCGGACCTAACAGCATTACCTGCAACTCCCCCCCACCCCAAGGTATTATAGATAATTCACATGGGAGGATTTTGTACTGAAAGAAGTAAGAAAACATTGCTTCTACATTGGAATAATGGAATGGACTTAGTGGATTTACAATGAGGAGGCAATGTCATGAGAAAAATGCCCCTGGAAAAAAGTTTTGTCAAGTGTCTTTTTGCTAAAAAGAAATAAGAACAAGCTCCAAATCAGGACCGTTGTTTAGTCCCCATTGTTTCCCAACCCAAGATCTATCACTCCCTGCCCAAATAGATGCTGTATTGCTTACTCTTCTTCCTAGGTCTTACCCAAAATGGCCAGCACAATGTTGTCCTTAAGGACTTCAAAGGATCCTGAGCATACAAAATAATTTGCTTGCAGGGCATCTCCCTGACGTAGTAAATACTCTCCGGGTGCACAGAATGAGGTCTTGATATGCAGGGATAAAGCCCGCAGGCAGCCACGGCTGGCACTTTCAAACAACGGCAATTGCAGGATGTCCTTGTTCAAATGCATAGCAATATCAGCCCGTAGTTCATCTGGGAAATCATGCAGGAGCTACAGAGAAAAGGCGAGAAGGATGCTTTTGTATGGAGTTCCGTGTCAATTACATTTACTGCTAGACCAGTGTTTCTCAGCTTTGGTAATTTTAAGATGTGTGAACTTCAATCCCCCAAATTCCCTAGTGAGAGGACTGGGGAATTCTGGAAGTTAGAGTCACACATCTTAAAGTTGCCAAGAATGAGAAACACTGCTATTCTGTAATCTCCCATATTGCAAAGCTTTAATTTCCATTACTTCCAGTCTGTTTAAACCATCAGTTGCTCTCTCATTGGCTAACTCATCCATTTATCAATTAGATGATTGATAGATTGTCATTCTTGTGGTGGCAGCTGGAATTAGATGCAGGTGATTCCATCAATCTTTTCAGAATATCAGATAAATTAGGCTCTTTCTTTCATTGAATCATATCTAACATGTTGTTTTAAATCACTTTTCCCTTCCTATGTGGCCATTGCTGAGAGTTGAACATACATGCATTGAGGTGGGAAAATATGATACACAAATCATTGCTACTCTTTAAGAATTTATTCTTCACCTTGATGGGTTCTATTTTTCATTTCCTTCCACATCCCTCCTCCTTTTATTCTGAGAAGGAGCTTTAAAAATATTTGCCTTTAATCCATTTTTCATATGACAAATGGGATTTAAAGTGCTTTAAATAAATGAATAAGGAGCAGCTGATTTTATTCTCCCTTGTGAGGGGTTGATGAAAACTATGAAGGATAAAGCATAAGAAATGTAAACCTATAGTCCAGAATCCAAGAAATGAGATGGGGAAAACTTGGATGGGATATACATGTTGGAGTCCAGTAATTCATTATGGAAAAAAATGGCAGGAAACCCCTGGGCAAATAGATTAAATTTCTGAAGCCAAGAAGAGAATAATCACCCATTCATCTTTTCACTTTGAAAATCTCTTCCTTTTGGAAAGCCAAAATATTCAAAGAGATGTGAAGCAGGAATGATTAGAATTTGATCAGAAGACACTTGGAAGGGTAAAGCAAAGAATTTGGAAAGTTTTGACTCCTCAAAAAATAACTGAAGTGGGGTGCAATATGGGAACAATTATTCTGGAAAAAACCTTTTAATTCTTCTTTTTGCTGTTTTCCTGGTCTAAAATCCCTCTCCCAAAAGTTGCTTTCATTCCAAGTAAAAAACGCAACATTTCTTCCTCCATTATAATTGCTCTGAGCCAGTGTTTCTCAACCTTACCAGTTTGAATATGTGTAAACTTCAACTTATAGAATTCTGGGAGTTGAAATCCACACACCTTCAAACTGAAAGTAAGCTTTTTGTCTTCTGCTTTCATTTTCTCTCCAAAATTGTTTAAATTATGCTTACCTCAGACGTTTTTAAAAAGCCAAGGTTCAGGTAGTAACATTTTCAAAAAGAAAATGTTTCCATGATCCAAACAGGGTTCCTTTCACAGTTACTATAATGGAAACTGATAGTACAATCTGGACACATTAAAGGAGGCTAAAGATTGATGTGCTGATGAGGAAAGAAGTTATTTTGTGCAAGCTATATTAAAATAAACCAATGATGGGCAAGATGAGTAGTGCCTTTCTCTGAATTTGTATCATTTCAACAGCAATCCTTTATTTCCTAAAGATTTCACAGTTACGGACTCTTTCAACCCATCAAGTCCTATTATACTGACTTGATATTTGAGATTTTGAAACCTGCTCCTTGCAAATAAACAGGTCACAAATTCAGGTTTCTGCTGTCCTCTTTAGCCATTAGACAATGTTCCCTCCCAATCTCCCTCTAGAAAAATCAGTGAATGAGTTGCCCCACCTCATTTGCATCAATGCCATTGTTGACAGACCATGTGGTCTGAAAGTATTCCAGCATACGCTGCTTGAGCTGCTGGGGCAGGCGGTGGACACGGATGAAGTCCTTGAGATCCTTCATGCGGGTATGATAGAGGGAGCGTCTTGAATACATGCGTTGTATGATGGCTGTCACATTGCCAAAGACCACGGCGTGCATCAGAGCTGAAGCAAGGAGGAGAAAGGAGGATATTTGGATATGGTGAATGACCCTTCTAATAGGAGCCCTGTTTCCAATAGTTACAAGCCCCTGCTTCAAGGAAATCAGCATGCAAAGATGGCATGGAAGGGAATAGCCTTTCCCTAGAGTTATAAAACATTTTGATTCATAGAGGCTTAATTTAATCATTGAAATGCAACTTAGTAGACCTTCCATTTCTTTTTTTCCTCTTTTTTTCCTCACAACTGCTCCTGCATAGTTGGAAATGTTTTGAGAATTTGGGGAGTCCAAACATCTTAGTTGGGAAAGATGGTTTTAGATGTCAGTGCCAAATTTTCTCCTATTAGGGCAGAAGAGAAGAGAACTATGTCTACACCCAGGATGTACTTACCACCAATGAGCATGGTGCAGATGGAAAAGATTTTCTCAGCATCTGTGTTGGCGCAGACATTGCCAAAGCCTACGCTGGTCAGGCTGCTGAGGGTGAAGTACAGGGAGGCAATATAAGCACTGTGTATGGATGGTCCACCCACAGAGATGTTGACATAGGGGGACTCAATTCGTTTGCCCAATTCATGGAGCCAGCCTGTGGGACACAATGAGGGGTTAATTCTCTTGGGTAGACAATAGTTCAGAGATTGCATGGCTAGGGTCATTTTTAAAATTGAAATGTAATTTGACTATCTTAACATAATCTTTTAATTTTTTTGTTTACCTCATTAAAGAAAGATTTTGATGATTTTGATGAACTGGTTTACACATTGTTTTAAGTTCTGGTTTAAGTTTTACTATGTTTTGTAGAGTTACCCACAATAACTGGCTTTACATATTCCAAGTCATTGAGCATGACTTGTTAGAAAAATTACAATTGTTTGCATTCATACATGGCAAGCTAAACAAACCATATTGATAAAGTCAACATGTGATCACAGCAGGGGTGGGTTCCTGCCAGTTCTAACCTCTTCTATAGAAGAGGTTCCACAAATCTACCATGGCATTTAGAACCGGTTCCAGCTCCTGTCTGCGCCACTCTTGCCCCGCCCGCTGCTCACTGATTGGCTGGCTCATCAATCGCCCCTCCCGCCTCTAAGAGACATATTTAAAGCTTAAAGTCTTAAAGCTGTCAAGTTTGAACATCCCTGAGGTTTTTTTCCTAAAGGGTTAGGGGTGCAAGGGTCTTGTAACTTGACAGCTTTAAGACTTGCGTGCTTCAAATGCCAGAGTTTCTGAGCCAACATTTTGGTTGCTAAGCAAGAGCATTGTTAAGTGAGTTTCACCACATTTTACAAGTGGTGACTGGCAAGCCACTACCACTCGGTCATATGGTTGGCAAACCACTCCCACCTGGTCACATGGCCAGCAAGCCACTCCCACAAAGCAGGCCACACCCACAAAGAGGTTCTAAAAAATTGAAATCCACCACTGGAACACAGCCAAACGTTTTACAAAGCTATGCTAAATATAATAAGGCAGCTTAGGGTAGAACTTGAGATTCATAGGATGAAACCTCAGAGGTCTGCTCTAAACAATTTTCTTGTCAAAGCAGAAGAGCAAGTTAAATGCCATACTTCAACTGATCAAAATCGGGAGGACCTTTATCATAATAACAATTTTGGCATGTGGCAAATTTTGACCCACTCCCTGCAAAGTCCCATTTTACTCAGAGTATAGTAAAGAGTATATCTTGATTCTCCAGATCACCCTTCAAAGACTGTATAGCAATAGCGATTAGACTTATATACCATTTCATAATACTTTACACATCTCTCTAAGCAGCTTACAGAGTCATCCTAATGCCCCCAACATTCTGGGTCTTACCAACCTCAGAAAGATGGAAGGCTGATTCAACCTGGAGCTGGTAAGGATTGAACTCCTGGCATTGAGCTGAATTAGCTCACTGAATTAGCCTGCAATACCACATTCTAACTATTTTGCGATCACAGCTTTTTTTCCCCATCATCTTTTTTGCATTGATGAGCCTATTTGATTACGAGGCCAATGGTGAAACATACTGTAAATAAGATGAAAAGTCTTCATATGTTGTCCCTATATTCCTTACTCATCTGGTCTATTGCTAGTTATGAATGAGTTACAAACAAGCTACTGGTAGTCTCTGGGTTTAGGAAAGAATGGAAATTTCCTAGTCCTCCCTCCCTGCCTTAAGTGCCTTATGTTCTTTAAAATCTAGGTTTTTTAAAGTGAGATTTTTCTATTTTCATTTATTTAATTAATAAATCTAGCTTTTATGTCTAATATAATGACTGTTCATTAGGATTCACTGATAGTTGGCCTAAGCCATTTTCTTCAACAACAGTATATTCCTTGAGATAATGAGCATGGGTTTTTAGTGGGATATCTTGCTACTTAATTACTCAGTATTCTTTCAATACTCTGCTTAAGTTCAGAAGTCTTCTAACAAAGGCTTCTTTGAACTTAAGTTTGAATCTATGACTTTTGATCAAATAGATGTTTTCTGCCCTAATGATCTCTTAAACCAAGGTTTTGCTTATTTAAGTATTCTGCCCAAGTAATCTGCAATTCCATATATATTGCCTTCGAGAAGAATAATTGGGAAATAATATTGGGTTAGATGAGCAGCTTTATCATTGATTAACAAACTTTAAATTATAGGTTGATGATTACTATCCGATCTGAAACTGAGATTAAATAATTTTACCAAGGCAAGTAAATTGATTGATGTTAAAAAATAATCTATCATATTTGCTCCCCATTCACAAATAAACACGAAGCCAACTGAATTATCATGTGCTATTGTACCATTTAAAATTATTCAATTCACACTAGTACAAAGACTGGCTAAACAAGAACCTCATAGTTTATATTCAATTTTAGATTACCCGCCATATAAACCACCTGTTCAAGGTTTGCCAGAAAAATAAGGAAACTTGGCCACCAATGCTTCATTTTAGGACCCATTTGGTCATTTAATCATCCAGAATCACAACATGCATATGGGGGAATTTTAAAAGCAAATTGTATAATATTGTTCCAATTCTGCCCAAATATAATTAATCTGGAAATATTGAATTCCAATATTTCTAATACCTCCAATCCCAAAACTATACAATTTGCTTTTGGTGGAAAATAAATATTTATAATTATTACATCAAAAATTATTACATCAAACTTTAATTGGGTTATAATAGCTTATTGTTAATTGTGTTCTAGTAAGGCTGTAGATAATTTTATTTTAGACATTTTATTTAACCATGCTCTAACTTGGCAATATCATTATAAGACAATACTTCCGAAAGTAAAATCTGTTATGACAGCCTTGCTTCAATATTTTTTACTTAAAATGAAGATTTATTCATGCAACAATACTTGCTTTTAATGCCAATATTGCGCCTCAAACTTTACATGGAACTCCAGTTTGGATCATATTTGCTAATAACAGCATAACACAACTGCAGGTGAATTTTTAAAAATATCTTTTGAGCGTCCTATACTAGGTTTCAAGTGCTGTTTTCTTGGAAACTGGGCAATGCATTTTGATAACAAAGACTTGGTTAGTATTATTAGTTTGGTTACAAATATGTCTTTCTTAAATAAGGAAGAATTCTCCAAATGAATTATTTGTAAATATGTGATTTAAACGGGTGGCTCAAAATATTAGTTAGATTGGCATTGATCCTGATAATTTATTCTTCACTGGTATGCCATCATAGTCAATGAACTGATTATGAGAACAAAGGCTATGGGATCATTCAGTATAGGAATTAATAGGTAAAGCCAGTGCATGGTGTTCACCTGCAATCATTGGAAATAATTATAGATATATATTTTCAACTCCCTAAATATTTGAATAGCTTCTATTTTATAGTAAACACAGAACATTCTTTTCAAAACTAGTTTAAAACTAGTGTTGCCATCAAATATGCTATATGGTAGATTTTTAAAAATTCCCATCTCTCAAAGATTGTATCCCTGTAATGATGCTGGTCCTGAAATGGTGGATCATTATTTTATTGTATTGTGAATTTTGTAAAAGTCTCCAGCAGGAAGTTATCTGGTTTGTTTAAAATCGGTATATGTAAATTTTTCATTTGCAGATTAAAATATATTTATTTATTATATCTTTATTGCACCTTTATTACTTTTTAAGTATCTTGGTGGTGAACTTGCATAATACTCCTTCTTTTTTCCATTTTCCCCACAACAACAACCCTGTGAAGTAAGTGACTGGCTCAAAGTCATCCAGTCAGTTTTCATGCTAAAGTTGGACCTGGAACTCACAGGCCCCTGATTTTTAGCATTTTATCCATAATACCTAAATGGGTGTAGATTACAGCCTAAGATTACAGGGCAATTACAGATATTTTTTTTACTATAAAAACATGATTTTAGTAATAAATTAATGGCCTGAGGTTTTAAGTGTATAATATATTATTAATTAAATTAGATTATGTTTCCAATTTGCTTTGGGGGCTTTTGACCATAAATAAATGAATAATAATAAAAGTTGCACCACTGTTCATGGGATTCTATGTGCGAGCATGAAGTGTTTTTGATGTTACTGGCATTAATGTTCTTATGCTCCAAAGTTGCTTTTTCCTAGATTAAACCAAATTGTGTTGCTACTGTTTGGCATAAGCTTGGCAAAGGTGGTGACCTAAAAATTTGAGGGGCTACCACAAAGAGGGGGTCAAATTCTACAAAGCACCAGAGAACAGGATAAGAAACAATGTTTGGAAATGAACCAAAGAGAAAAGCAACACGGAATTAAGAAGAAACTTCCTAACAGTAAGGACAATTAACCAGTGAGGACAATTGCCTTCAGAAATCGTGGGCGCTCCATCACTGAAGGTTTTTAAGAAGAAACTAGACAGCCACTTTTCTGAAATAGTGTAGGTTCTCCTGCTTGAGCAGGGGGCTGAACTAGAAGACCTCCAAGGTCCCTTCCAGCTCTCTTCTATTCTAAATGTTGCATTTCTTTCCAACTCTTTCAAAAGTTTAGATTCTATCTTGCTGGAATACAAAATGTCCTGATTGTGAATTCTGTGAAGAGATTCTGTTTGGTGCAATGCACCAGGATTTATATGACAACAGCTTCCCAATCATATCCTAAACTCACCAATGTCCCAGGTCTCAGGGTCGTTGCTCTCCTGCCGGCCGATGACATACCAGATGCAAGCCATCCAATGAGCCAGCAGGGCAAACATGGACATGAGCAAGGTCAGGACCATGGCACTGTACTGGGAATAGCGGTCCAATTTCTGGAGCAAGCGGAGCAGGCGCAGGAGACGGACAGTCTTTAACAGGTGTACCAGGTATGTCTGGGAAAGATAGGAAGAGAAAAACAGATAAAGCAGCAGGCCACTGGAACATTCAGCCAAACTCCATCTGGTCACAAAACTTAAGTGGTGATCACGTTCATGCATAATATTAAACATTAATATAGTGATTTTGGGTTGATGTATAAACTCAGCTACTATATATTTAATTTATTTTGCTTGTCTAAGAAATCATGGACTTGTGGGATCCAAACATTACTTTTTACAGTTTCCAACCCAATTACATTTTACAATGTGCCCAAGCTCTTCTCAGGAATGGGTAGGTGGGAAAAATGACTTTATTTCTGGACCATGGCTCTCACAGCAATTCTTAGTGATGTAGCACAAATGGTACCACTGCATTAAAGCCAGGTCACTGTCATCTGAAAGACAAAGTAAAACTGGCAAGTTCTGATTGAAAAATAAGATACTGGACATTATTGATCCTCTTTTGCGCTCTTGTGTCATAAGGTTGGCCAGTAACCTCATTAGCCAAGAGGCTGTATTGAAGGCTTCAAGTGCTTGGTCTTGATGGCATGCATATTTCAACCTGCCCACCAAAGGGTTGTACCAGAGAGACATAAAAGGCAAGAAAGAAAGGTGCATCCAAAGTGAAAGAGCTAGGTGAGATGTGGGATTTTCCAGAAGAAAAGAGTCTAAATGGAATTCATCTAGAATCAGAACAGTATCTAAAGCTGCTCTAATGTTCAGCTAGAGACATCTTGTCAGTTCAATGCTGAATTTCAAAATGTTCAACTTTTCTGATTTTTTTTCAAGGCTTTGAGGAATATATAAAACTTAGGCTGCAATCATGGTGTAGCTGTGTTATTAAAGAAGACAAAGTTTTGCATTACTTTGCTGACTGGTACTTGAGAAATATAAAAAACACTCTAAGAAATTCTTGGATATGTGCCTAAAACTCACTATATTTTCCTGATAAAAACAAGTGAATGTAGATGACTATATATAATATACAGACAGTGATTTGTTCTCCTAAGTACTAATCATTATGTAACCCAGACAGTGCACTTGTGAATAAGATGGAAATGTGAACAATTCAGAGGACTTCAATTATGCAGAAGAATGTTGAACTAAAAGCTGACTAGTTTAATGTGCACGTAACAATAATTGTCCCTTAACAAAATAAAATGGGTCGGCAGGAAGAATGAAGTTTTTTGGAAAAGTGTGTGTGGGTGTGTCCCATTCATTACCACTTGAATCTCATTTCAAGAATCATGTTTACATCTTGTGTTCACTTATGTACTTGTTCTTCTAAATAAAGTACACAGTTCAAAGTATGTCTGCTTCCTGTTCAGATAATGTGCTGAATTAGTATGAAAAGCCTCAGCTCCAATATCTTCTGGAAGCAAAATTACATAAGGTGGATAGGGCTTTAGAAAGAGCAGATACCAGTATTAGAAAAGAGAGGGCTGCATAGTTAAAATTTAAAATGGAAGCCTGAGATGTTGCAAGAGTTATAATTACTGTTTCCAGTAGGATAGCTTCATGTGACAGATTTTATTTTACTTTCTTTCACAATAATCTGTCCCAAAGGCCACTGGACTCAAACATCAAATGGGAGGATAAGGAGGAGCCCAAATCTATATCAAGCCTAAAACATAATTACAAAAAAACCAAGGTGGGGTGGGTTGCTGCTGGTTTTACTATCAGTTCACAATTTACAGTGAACTGCGCATGCGCAGTCATTAAAAATCAAAATGGCGGCGGCCCAACATTGGCAAGGGAACTGGTTCAGGGACGTGGCAGGCCTGAGTTGCTGCCAGTTCTGCAACCCAGGCCTGAATTCCACTACTGGGTCAGCCAAACTGGGAGCAACCCACCTCTGGTTAAAACCCAAAATCGTCAGCTGTGACTGAAGGAACAGTGAAATAAAACTTCCTGTCAGCCATTATTCCATCAGGTAGGTCTTACCTTATGGAATGAGAGAAGACTATAATCTCTCATCTCTGCAGAGGTGAGGGATTTTCAGCAGGCCATTTCTGCATCATGCCTAGATAAGAGAATTCAATTCTGGCAAGATGTTGACAGGTTAGGTCATTTTTCTCCAATCCTTGAGACAGTGGTAAGGCTTTATATTGGTCTTAATGGCAATAGATTTTTCAGCTGCTTCTAATATCAAAATAAGCTGATGTATAAAGTCCGTGCCTCCCTCAGAACCTTGCTTCCACATACGCTAGCCACACTCCTTAAATCTGAGTCTTTAAAATATATATTTATCTGTCACATAAACTAATGATGAACTGATTTTTCAACTTCATTTTGACATGGACAAATTATCATACTAAAAGGGTTGTTGTGGTAAAACCAGTCGACATAGAGATCTTCTGAATAAAATTGTTTTAAAGGGGATATGAAACTTGTCGTATCTAGTGAGGAGAGAATATGCCCAATGAGTATGAAATGCAGTGGGCTGAATGATGGAGGGGGAGAATGAGTGAAATGGAGCACACTAAAATAAAAACATGGCAAGCAAACTGAAGGAACACCTGAGTGGGAGCAGCTGCTTGGCTGAAGATTATCCCTGTCGTAAGAGCTAATAACATGATCTGCTCTTCAAGAGCATTGCAATTAATGTCTGTAAGTACACTGTGTTTACTACTGTTGAAACCTTTAACATGTTCAATGGATTTTTTTACTCATGGTTTACTAGATATTAGACACACTAATTCAAACATTAAAAGAATGGATGGTAAAGGTGATGGAGTTGGCGAAGATGCCAAAATTGACTATTTAAATTAAAGAGAGGAATCCACCTAATTTTGTTCCTAGTGAAAAACCACCTCTGGACTTTGTGTTTGAAATTAGAAAAAAAATGAAACTTTAATTTTAGGTTATGATGACTAGATTGACTGTGTTATAGAAATGGGTTGAAATAGTTAGAAATGTAAAGCAAAAGGCTAAGACTGTAACATTTTTTTTTTTGTATTTTACTCCACTGAAAAAAGTTGGACATTCTTTCTTTTTCTTTGCCCCTCTCTTCTTTCTTCTTTATCTTTCCTGATTTTGTTATTTACATTTTATCTCATAACAAACTTTAATAAAAACATAAAACATTAAAAAAGTCTTCCTAGATATTGAGCCACCCTCCTTTATGTATTAAGGAAAGCAGAGAAGATATTGGCATTTACCATTATCTTGGCACCTTATCATGTGTAGGCCACTTTACAGAAATAATATCTTTGACCTTGTACAATTATAAAGCATCTGCGAGTGGCTTAAAAGCTGGTGCCTCTGAATGGGCTTCTCTTTCTGGAAATTCACCATTTGGCTGTGGCATTTCTTATGGAGTGCTTTTTCTCATTGCCAGGAGAAGATAAAGCATCACTCACCACTGGAACATTGAAGGCATAGAGGAGGTCAAACGGCAAGGCTGCAATTAAGTCCACGAAGAACCATGTTGCCACATAGTGGAGGCAAATTGAACGTGTATTATAAACCACCTGGCCTGATTCACTAACATACGTGGTCCGAAAGTTCAAAACAATATCTGTCAAAAAAGAAAAGGGGGCACTTACACATTTGCCAATACCAATTCTCCATGACATCATGTTTTACAGGAACATTTGATATGCAGGATAGGAGTACATAGGGCTGAGTAGGATTCCATACCACAAAGTGCTTTGTGGGTAGCTCTTTATACCAGTTGCATTTTTGCCCAGGAACACATGGATGTTCTACCATATTGCCCAGCTTGGTCTAGGAAACTCATAAACTGTAGAAATTGGAGTTTATGCTTCAGTTTGTAGGAATCACAGCTATATATCTTTGGAATATTAGAATTCAATTCTTGGCATGTTGAAATTTTTAAAACATTTGTTTAATTCTCTATCAGTCTCCCCCCCCCCTCCACACAAACATACAATAACTGAAAACATGGAGAAATGTGATAGCTGTTTGGGATAATACTTGAAAGCATTATTCAATGGTCAAACATAATATATTCCTTGGTGCTCTTTGAGCTAGCTTGTTTTCTTGCAGACATTTCATTATCCTTAACTAGGTAAATCACCAGTGCTAGTAAGGACTGCTGTCTGGTGTCAGTTTATATTCTTGTGACATGTCTGTGTGGATTGGGGCAAGTATTGAGATATTGCTTACTTAATTGATGGTCTGATGTTGACCTTGGAGTTAATCTATGCTGATCTGAATGCTGATTACCAGTGGAGAGGAGCTTTTTCTCTTTTTTCAGTTGGCTGGTTGTCTCTTTTGCATAGTCTGCAGATGTTGTTAATGTCTACGTGTCTATTAATGGCTGATTTGTCAGAGTGCCAGGTTTCTCAAAATTCCCTGGCATTTTTGGATTTGGCCTAGGATTGTCACATTTTCCCAATTGAAACTATGGTTAAATCTGTTTATATGTTGTGAAATTAAAGAATGTCTTGTGATTGCCAGTTGGTGTTCATGGATGCATTCTGTCAGTCTTCTGTCTGTTTGTCCTACATAGTGGTTGTTGCTGTTCTTACACTGTATATTTTAGATGCCTCCTGGGGTTTTTTTTCCTGGGGTTGCTGGGTCTTTTGGATTGCTTAAGATGTCTTGTAGGGCTTTAGATGGCTAGAGAAAAAGACTCCAAACAATATCTCAATATCTGCCCCCACCCACACAGATAGACAAGACACCAGAAAATAAACTGACATAAGACAACATGCCTTACTAGCACTGATGATGTTACCTAGTTAAGGATAATGAAACATCTGGGAGAAAACAAAAAAGCTCAGAGAGCACCAAGGATCCCTCATTTCAACCCTGAGCTACAAATATTCACCTTAATTGATAATATATTCCATTACAATGCAGGTTTAGGGCCAGTGCAAGGCTGTAATAAGTGAATAGCTAGACACGTAACATGTGTTAATAACAGTATTGTTCTGATCAGAGAACACTGCATAATTTAATGATCTAACTATTGTTATTAAAAAGGTAATAATTATTCAATTACCAATTTGGTTTTTTTCTATTATATTCTACACTGAAGGTGCAGGGTGATCAAAAAGTATGGCTTTGGTTCAAAATGAAGTTTAACTGTAACAGTTGGAAAGCACCTTGAAGGTCATTTAGTTTAACCCCCTGCTCATGCAGGAGACCTATACTAGGAATTCTACTGCCAACCTTTCTGATCGACAAGCTCAGCGTCTTAGCCATCTTGTGTCTGGAAAAAAAAAACTTATACAGAGGATGAAAAATCTGGAACCTTTTTTTATTCTTCGGGTTTGATAGGTAACATAATTAGAGGCAACTTAATTGTCTTAAATGCTTAGGGCATCCATTCAAACATTTACATTCTCTTTCCACAATAGATTCTGGCTCTATCTGCTTTTGAAAAGTAGCCTTTGACATACCTCAAAAAGCTTGTTGTGGTCCACTGCTGAGAGCTGACAGTTCCTTATTGTAGAACAATGTTTCTATAACTCAGCAATATTAAGCAAAATTAAGTCTTCAATGTCCAGAATTCCCATAGCCAGCAGGTTTTGAGAATTCTGGCAGTTGACCCCTACATTTCAATGTGGTTGAGGTTAAATAATGTTCAAGAACCACATGATTTGATCTCTGCTCTAGGAACATTGTCTGCCCAGGTGTGTCCTTTTCATACCATTGTAAATATACATTTGACTTTCCTCCAACCCAGCCTTACCAACAATGAAAAGCATCTCGACTACAATGTCACTGACGATGGTGCTGCGGGCAGCTGTCAAACTGTCTTCAGCGTCAGTGAAGCAGACATTGTAGGGAACAGTTACTGCCACATAGAAAGTAGCCAGGAGGATGAGCCAATCCCACAGGGCTTTAAAGATGCTGTAGTGAAGAAGGATGAAGCGCGACTTCTGTACATAGGCCACTTTGTACTCTGGCACTGAGGGCTTGTTTTCAAAGACATCCTGAAGAGGAGAAGAGAGGAAATGCAATTTCAGATACCAACATCATCATAGTTTCTCAGCTCCTGAGAAGCCTCCTGGCGGTCTTACAATAAGCACTAGGCTGAAATCAGCATTTTTTTTTCCTAACCCTGCTGAAAAATAGCCCCAGGAATGGCATTGTGTAATACTGTCATTCTCTGGAGTGGCTGGGACCAACTCTGCTTGATAAGGTTTTATGTGAGAGGCAAAATAAAAGAGAGAAGAGGAGGAATAGAAGGACAGGATAAAAAATAGAAGGACTCCCTACACACATTGTAGAATGGAGATGTCTAGTCTTCAGCATCAGCATTCCTAAACATAATTTTTAGAAAGCTTAGGAACAACAGCCAGAGTCCCTGCAGAAGCATACCAAACTATAATTTCTATTGTATGAAAAAGTCAAAGTGATGTGGTGCATAGAATACAATCCTATTTTCTTTTGTGAATTTTATGTAATATAATTTAAATGAAATACCATTTTTTGGAGTATAAGATGCTCTGAAATAGAAGAAGCACCTAGCTTTTGGGGAGGAAAACAAGGGGGGAAAATCTGCCTCTGCCTTTGCCTCCCAGCAATTTGCCTCCTTGCAGCAAACAGCAAACAGCAAACAGCCCGTTACAATTTCCGTTTCAGCACAACCTGATTAACACAAGCAGCTGATTGTGGGTTGGATTGGCCTCCCAACAATCAGCTGTTTCAGGCTGCAGGGATTGCCATAGTCTATTACAGCCTCCATGTCCCCCATTTTAGCCACTGCATCCCATTTTCAGCCTCTGCAACCCCTGTTTTCTGCCTCCATGCCATTTTCTGCCCATTCTGGGCATCGAGGGGCGGAATGGGCGGAAAATGGGGCCTGCAGAGGCAAATTGCTGGGAGGCAGAGGCCAAGGGTGGGTAGGACTACATTCAGTGTATAAGATGCACCCAAATTTTCACCCTCTTTTAGGGGGAAAAAGTGTCACACTCTGAAAAATATGATAATTTTAGTTTTTGTCTTAGATATATCTATTTCTTTGTCTTGTTACCATCTCTTTTATTATTAACATGGTATTCAAAGAGAAAAAATGGCATTTACTATGAAAACTATCAAACCACGTTTGAAGGATTCCTTCCAAAATCTCAGAACTCTCTTCCTTTTATTGTGACCTGAGTATTTGTAACTCAATAGGCTTACAATTACCGATGGACATTCATGAGTCATATTATTAATTTATACATAGTAAATTCCTTCCATGTAAAAGCTGCTAAAGTGAAAAACAATAAAATTCAAAAACTAAGTATGCACACAACTCAGAAGATAAAATGAAACTTGAAATTATTAAAATGTTCCGTGTCATCAGAACAAAATTGAAAACATTTTGAGCATGTCAGGAAAGCCCTTGACATTAGTTCCTTGTTTCCTCATTTTTCATTCTAATTGGGTTAGCAGTCCATGTTGAAAGACTGACAAAAGTCACTACTAGGAAAAAAAATAGATAAAAATCCCAGGCAGCTCTAACTGAAATGACCCTTCATTCTTGTTCTGAATTCATAGATCTAACATATAGGACAAGGAACTATTTATTTCATATATTTTTCTATTAGCAAGTAGTTAGTACCTCCCATCACAGCCATGGAAGTGGAAAAATTGAGTCCAAACAAGCACTGAGATGTTATTCAAAAATTACAACATTTGATGAACATAGGTCACTACAATATATGCATTCTGAATAAGCTCCAATATTCTGCTGATGTAGATTTTTCATAAGTTTTTAAAATAAGAATTCATTTAATCTGTTAAGGACATCCTGAAGCTAAATGTCAGCTGGGCACAAGAGCATGAACAGAGAGAACACACAACCTCAGCAAAACAAGTTACACTAACATCTTACTGGCAATCTTTGTACAGCTCTGAGCACTGCCAACATCTATGTTTGAAGCACAGCAGTTCTCACACCTGCACACAACTTTGCATCTACATGCTTTTTTTTTACAGGCAAATATACTCACAGTATGCATATGTGCAAATACATGCAAATACACTTCCAACTTCCCCATAGCAATTAGGAAAAAAAACTCTCTTACTTTCCAGGCAAACAGGCAATAGCATGAAACAATTAGAGCAGTTTTCTCTTCTATGGTCCACTGATCAGAGCATTCCAACTGTGCTGGATGTGGTGTCTATGATGTGCAGCCTCAGAGACAGCACATGCTTTCTGGCTTAGATGAATTAGTGAGTAAGACAAGGAACATCAACATTGGACAAGTGCAAAAACAAGAGTGGTAGTGGCTGAATTCTATTGCAACCTAGGTGGTTCATAAACTAACAGAATCTAGATGAGCCACCTGAGGTCTTCATCCAGTAGGAGCATGATGTAGATGCTCCTAGAAGAACTGGTAGACATATATCTAAGCAAATCACATGAAGTCTCCTCCCCCTCCTATGCATCTCTCAGATGACATTGTTGTTCAAATAAGCCAACAACTGGCTATGACTTTAACCCAAGTCCATGTGTGTTTGCCTGTGCTTCGGTGGTGGATGAAAAAGACCAGCTCTCAGAAATAAGTCATGAAAGCAATGGGAATTTTATCTTAAGAAAGTCAAGTTGTTCCACCAAATCAACATTTAAGTATGAGTGATGGAGTGTCACCCTATTGCCTGCCTTGAAGAAAACTATAGACATCATGTAAATATTATTTTTGCCAGTGGTTTACATATCAACAACTGAAAGAACGATTTAAATCAGATAAAGAATTGTGGGTTTGATTTTGCTAAAAATGAATTGGAAATCTTACTGTGTGGTAGTGATGAGCAGATTTATTAAATGTTATTGAAATTGAATTTGGAAAGGGAACATGAAAAACATTGCATGATTCAGTGGGCAAGGAATTTTGGATATAATGTGATGCTTGAACAATGGGAAAATATGAGGATGAAAGGTTTAAAATGTACCCTAAACTATAATTAAAAAGAAAAATTTTATAAGATAATGTATTGCTGGTATTTAACACCAGATAAGTTATCCAGAACATACAAAAGGCATTTCAAATGAATGTTGGAAGTGTAAAAGTAAAGAAGGAACTTTTTACCATTTAAGGTGGACATGTGAAAAAGCAAAGAAATTTTGGAGTAAGTTTTATACAGAAAATTCTTAAACCAAAAATAAAAATGAAACCAGAAACCTTTCCTTTGGGTTTAATGGAAAAAGTCAAAGAAAAAATTTGGAACTTTGATCTTTGATATATGTTGACAGTAGCAAGACTATTATACGCACAAAAATGGAAGGACACTTCGATTCCCACTATGGACGAATGGTACAGAAGCTGATGGAGTTGGCAGAAATGGCTAAATTGACCATTGGGTTAAAAGAAAGAATATAAGTACCTTTGTTTCCACATGGAGACCGCTTCTGAACTTTGTGCTTGAAGTGGAAAAAAATGAAACTTTGATTTTGGATTTTACTGATTAGATTGATATGTTTTTTTATAGAAATGGCTAGTTTATATTATTATGGAAAAACAAAACGTTGTGGTTTGATGCTTCAATGAGTCAATATTTCTTCTTTTCTTTTTCCCGTTTCTCCTCACTCTCCCCCTCCTACTGTGTCTTCCTATTTACTTTTGTATTTTATCTTATAAGCTAATAAAAATGTTAAACTGGAAAACTTTACATTTTGCATTATTAATTGGTAAACAATAGATGTACAATCTGATACATTCATGCCAAGTTTTCTAACTTTGGTATTGGTTACACAAAACAGAAATGGGTCTATCATCCTTGGTTCATTTAGGCGGGACATGTCAAGACTTATAATGCCAAGACTTAAGGATACACACACGCACACACACACACACATCTTGCTAAATCATCTGTGACCTCTTATTGCTCAAGCAGTTACATGACAGCTCATTGGATCAGAGGAAAAAGGTTTCAGGACAGATGGAATCCAACTTATCTGGTCTACTATCTCCCTTCACTTCCACTAAAAAGACTCAAGACTTTAGTCCTGAATTAACCATTTAGCAAAATAACCATATGCTTAGGACATCAAAGGAAGGGGACATCACATAGTTTTTCCTCCTGGCTACTATTTTATCTATAAGAGTGCTTTGTGACGCCTTTCATGCTGGTTAGTAAGACCTTGAGAATGAAACCTCCCAAACCAAGCTATTCCGATAAACAGGTGCTCTTTATAAGCAACATTGCAGAAGATGTTTAAAAAGTGTTAAGAATACACTGCACTCTGTTGTCTTGTTTCAAAAATAAGACATTCAAAGCAGTTGATTTAGACATCCCAATTAAAAATAATGACTGAGAATCCACATCAAAGCAGATCTGTTTAACTTTCTGTGCAATCAACCGAAAAAGTTACATTTAATTCTAAAGGGAACTGAAAAAGGAATTAAGATCCAGCTCCTGAATTTAAGCACTGTTGTCAACGAATCTGATTTTTTCTTAAGACTTGGAATATTAATACTAATATAAATGCATAAGATTCCTTAACAATGGCCTAACATGCCAATATTCCTCTATTATTCAAGGAACTCACAGGTAAATGGTCCAGAATGTTTAGAACATAGTTCCTTTTTTAAATTGAAGGAGCCATTTATAGAAAATGAAATATATTTGCCCATACCTTGCTAGAAAGAGATGGGCGAGTATCTGCTATAAAGAAATAAAAGACTAGAAAGAGGTTGATAATTACAAGTAACATTTTACTCTGAAAATCTAAACCTTCTAAGTATATCTAGCTGCTTCCTCTCTAGGATATTTGGTGGAGGCAATATATTTCTTACACAACGAGAGTATGTTATCTGTCTCTTCATTGTTCAGCTTGTATATATGTAAATAAAGTCAAACATTATAAAGTGTCTTAAGCCACCAGAGAACTCCCTTCTTACAAAATGAACTAAGGAAATGATAACCTGAAAGCATTCTGGAAAATTTAAATATTTCAAACTGCATATGTAATATTTTTCTCTCTTACACATTTTGTCCCTTCCATCTGTTTCTCTTACTTTCTCAGTCTTTTGTGATAAATATTTAAAAAGGAAAAAAAATGTAGCTGGCTATATGAGTTTGAAATAATATAATTGCAGGTTATTTTACGGGCTATTCATCAAGATCTGATTACTGGCCATCACTCATCTATGATGAGAAGGAAAACAAGGATGGGGAAAAAGGAAGGAAGGCATGAAAAACTTCAATAATACTAATACTACTACTACTACTACTACTACTAATAATAATAATAATAATAATAATATCTGGCTACTTTGTTTTTGTATAGCTACCAATCATCTCACATTACAGCAAGCATCTAAATATGCCACATTTATGAAAAGCAGAAGGAAACAGGATGTTGTTCTCCTACTTTTTCTACTGCCACTATAATACTTTGGGGGCCACTTTCTTTGTAAAAATTCTCTTCCAAAACTCTTCAGCCTGTGCACACATGTGCATATGCCCTCACTGTGGATGAGGATCAGGAGCAAAGGTTGGCCACCATTATCAGCTTAGTATAAGTAAATACAGATTTTCTCATGGCAGAGAAGGGAGTTACCCAGCTTGTAGCTGGAATAGATAGCCGGCCTGCACAGCTGCTTAGGCAGTTCTTCAACTAACTCTCCTCCCTCCCCAACATCCAACCACTTCCCTCAAATAGATCAAAGCCTTTTAATCTGCCCTGGTCTTAGATCAGGAGAGAGCAGCTGTCAAGGCCCTCTGAGTAGGAAATGAGAAAAGCAAAAATCTGGGTTGTTAGGTGCACAGGATGGTTTTCTAACAGCTATCAGAATCTATCCCATAACATCCAGATGTATCTGGCTGCACTTCAATTGCATTGCCAGACAGCATTTATCTGTATGCAGTTTAGGACAAGACCTCCGTTCTACAAAACAAGCTCCACTGAAAACAAGAAAGAAGAGCTGTAGAAAGGAAGCTGAAAATGTTGACTTTGCAATTTGCAGAAGACTCTGGAACAAATAATGCTGAACTCATGCTATTTTATTTCATCTCAATGTAACATGGAATATATGGTATGGGGTACAACTATACCAAAATATCACTTATTCTTCTCTTTCAGCCTGCACACACATACAAACACAGACAACTGCAACTGAAATCGCAGGTGATTTAACTTAGGGGTGTTATGGGAGTTATAATATAGCATATCTATAGGATATGTGGCTTGAGAAGACTACACCAGTCCATCACTTCTATACAACATGTGATCCTAGTTGGCTAGGAAAATCCATCTTGCTTTGGTGCCATGAAATGACTTTTCAGCACTGCCTTTTAAGGGGAACCCCTGTGAAGTTCCCTTTAATACTGACAAAGATTGTTTCCCTCCAAAATGAATTGCTTTACCTGTACTGGTTGCAGCTAAAAGGTGAGCTTTAGCAGAAGTTAAAGCACTTTTTTAAAGTGAGTCAAACTGCTATTAACCCCACACCGGCCTTGTGGTTACCCTAATTTATATCTCCCAATTCATATCTATTTGGGGGATTGAGTTTTTGCTCAGAGATCGTATGGGAATGGCCCTACATTAAAAGCTGTCAAGCCTTAAAAGAGAATTGCTCTCCACATCAAAATATCCTCTGTGTCAGATGATCTATAGTGCTAACATATAATAGAGACTGCAAGCTATACTCTCATGGGCATCAAAATCTGCAAGATGGCAAGGGCTATGTTGTGATCAAAGTCCTGCCCCTTTGTACATTCAGAGCATTCAGAAAAGTGGTGGGGTTTGGGTTGCAGTGCCAAACATGCCTTGTTGCAGATTTTTGATACTCACTGCTCCATAGACACTGCACTATCCTAGAATTTCCTAGTGTCATTGGGCACTAAACAGAAGAACCACAAAGTCCACAAAAAGAGATGATTTTGGGATGTGCTAATGGAAAAACTATATGACTATCATCATGGTTAGTTGGAAAAGCTTGGACCAAGGAAGCCTTAACTTGTCCCTTGCCCAAAAATGAGGGGTAAGAAAGTAGGTGATAACTTTACACTGTTTATCTTCATCTCTGTCCTTTCCTTCTTGTTGAACTGCCTGGTGAGATGGTTCAAAGCAGTTCGCCCTTGTTTCCTGGCCACCCACAAATGAGAGCTCCTTGTCTTCTTGCATTGAGGCTTTTCTGGAAAAAAAGAGAGTAAGACTAGAATCATGGTACCAATTATCAAACAGGAAGAGCATAACCATTCTAACTTGCTTCCTTTTTCAATTAGAGGTACCATTGATCTTACTACCTCATTCTGAAATGCTGATTTCAGAACTTTATCTCTCTGTCTTGTATCTCCTGGCCAGCTCTTCCTATCACTGAGAATTTCCATCAATAAATTTGAGAAGGAACATTAATGTTATGTATTACATACATGTTGCATATGAGCTAATTACTATGTTTTTCCTAGTGGAATTCTAAATGCAAAAATAAAATAAATGTGACAACTGTATGTATGTCTATTAAACACAATGTATTATTGAAAATAGATATCTTCCTTGAAACTGTTTTGGTTAATGCACTCTTGTTGTTAAGGACCTGTATGCTGATTACTGATGGCTTTACGTCTTCCTCTGATATAGGGACTTCTTTGATTTAATCTAATCAAACATTTCCTTGGCTGGCATATTCTAATGGAGTTTCAGTTTTAAAAAAAACAGTTAACCTATCCTTCCAAATTGTTCTTCTGATTAGCCAATCAAAAATATAGTTTGAATCTAGAATTTTCACTATTGCTTTCACTGGTGAGATGCACATAGTTCAGAACACTTAAGAATTACAGTCTTTGAGAACATTTTTAGAAATGTGTATTTTAATGAAGCACTTGACAGCAGTTTCATGCCTTTTTCTTTAGCTGCAAAATAACAGGGAAATCAAATTAAAGGATTTACTAGCAAAGGTTTGCAAAGGTTACATGAACTGAAAACAGGCTGGTTATTTCATTGCATATTAATTCAGTCCCCTCTCCTTAAGATTGTTGTTTTGTCTCCAAACATCCTTACCTTCCTTTTTTTCATTGAGATGATTCTTCCCACGATTCTTGCTAATATCTTTGAAGGAGAAGAGGAAAAGGACCACTTCACTTTTCTCATTCTTGATAGGGACAATGTCCAGCAGGCACCAAAAGGCTATTCCTAAACCAAAGAGGGAAAGGGAAAAAAACTTATCTCACACAACGTCTTTAAGGGTTTTGTACAGTCCACCAATTCTGACAGGATGGGCTGCTCCACGTCTCCTCTGACCAATTGTATCATCTTGCAGGGTTGAGGAAGCATGCCTTCTCTGTTACGGTGCCTGCCCTATAGAACAGGAATTATCCCTCAATTCAGAAACCTGAATCCTCTTTGACTTCCAGGAAGCAATTAAGATTTGACTGTTGCTTCAGACAGTAAAGCCAGGAGGTTAAGGGAATCCAATACAAATTTGTTTGTGAAATTGCACTACAGTAATAGGACCTCAACTTTTCTTCCACATGTTGGGTTGTTTCTAATTTGTTTTTGTTTTGTGAACTTATATGATGATATGAATGCCCATCTTATATAGTAAAGATTGCTTTGAATTGGGATCATTCAGAGCTATCTTTAGTATATAAGATGGGCATCCGTATTCATATATTTTTCCTAAATTAAAAAAATATTGTAGTTGCAACTTGATCTTATTTCAAACACTGGAAAGTTAATCCAGTAGATAAACAGACATAACAACAACAATAATGATAAATCATTTTCTTTTTATTCCTGTATTAGGACAATGGTCAGGTCTTTTTAAAACATCTATATGTATGTCATTTTTTATTAATGATTTTTTAAAAGGAAGGTTAAAACATAGGTGCATGAGAAGAGCTGGTGGTAGAGGTATATAGAGGTATATGGCTCAGTTATTTACAATTATTAGAAAGAGTTAAAGTAGATGAAAGAATTCATAGACTTGAACACTGTAAGACTGTTGAAATAGAATAGTGTAAATATGATGAATATGTAATTGCTAAAATTTGAAACAGAAGAACAAGTGGAAGAATATATAATAAAGTGGGCTACAATATTTGGTTATAATATACAAATACACTGTGTTATCTTAAAGAAAGCTTACATAAAATGATGTACCAATGGTCTATGTCACCAGTGAAATTGTCTAGAATGTATAAAAGCATTTCAAATTTATGTTGGAAATGTGTTGGAAAAGAAGAGACATTTTTCATGTTTGATAGACAAAAAAGCTAGAAAATTTGGATTGAGAGGATTTTATACAATTGAAACCAGAGATTTTCCTTTTGGGATTGATAGAAAAATTGTAAATTTTGGAAAAAAGTCAAGGAATTTTGCTGTTGTACATGATAACTGCAGCTTGATTATTTTATGCACAAAGATAGAAAGATTCAACTTTAAGCACAATGGAAGATTTGGTTGGTAAAGATGATGGAATTTGCTGGTTAAATTGACTTCTTTAAACAGAGAAAAGACAATACTATATCTATGTTTATTGCTAACTGGAAAAAGTTTAACCTATTGCATAAAATGTTATTGCTAACATTTTGGATAAAAATGAACTTATAATTTATGGCATTGATAATTAGTCAGAATGAATTATAGAAAAAGAGATATATGTTGTTGAAGAGAATAAATTTATAATTCTACTTACAACTGCTGAAAATTGGAAACTATTTCTCTGATTCTTTTTTCTTTCTTTTTTCTATTTTTCTTTTTTCCTTTGTTGGGTTTTTAGCTTTATTTTTTCCTTTTCTTTACTTTGTATTAGTGTGTGTGTGAGGGGGGGAGTTTTAGGTGTCTGGAAACTTGTAGCTACTTAGAAATCTAGTGAGAATCAACCTTTCAGCTGTCTTTTTTATAGGCATTTGATGACCTCATAAAATATAGATTACAAAAGAATGGCTGCCAATAAAACTGAATCTCTGTCTGCCTTTCCAGATGTTTTTGGACTGTAATTCCTTTTAAACCCAGCCAACACTTTACTGACATGGATGGATTATGGAAGCTGTAGTTAAAACATCTGGAGGGGGGCATCCTGCTGATCTTGCATATATCCTTCAACTCCAAATATAGTACAGAGGTGAAATAATCATTGCTTTTGGCACCAGGATGGATTAAGAACAGCCACACGGAGAATTCATTTCAGAGGTTTGCAAAGCTCAAGCTGCTTAGTGGCTTTGTCATTTAAGAAGCCACAAAACCCATCATCTCAAATTGCCTCTAAAAAATATGGGCATCCTGAGTTTACATTGGAACACTGTTTTGGCATTCCACTGGTAATACTTTGCTTCCTACAGTTGTGGGGAAAACCAATTAATTGTGCATCCTGCATTGCCCTATTATACTCCAGGACACTGTGTATTCTTCAATTTAAATAATCCACTTATAGAGCATCTCTCCAATTCTGTCATCTAAAAGGATTTAGGTTCTACAGAAGCCTCCCAATACCAGTAGAGAGGAGCTTCATCACCAGGGATTTGTCTTCTGGCTTGCATTCCCAGACTCACACATGGAAGCTCCCATCAGCATTAGTCAGGGAGTTGCCCTTTAATGGGATTTTCCAGAAATGGTTATAGTTATGGAGCTCCTGAAGGCAAATCTACTTTAGGCTTATGATCTAATGCAGTTTTGGTGGGAAGGGGAGGGAATTAAATTCAGAAATCCACCCCTCCCAAAAAAAGGAAGACAAAAAAAAAAGATCTGGAAATCTTATCTCTACCTCAAATTTTGGCAGTCTATGTTCTGCTTTGGATGCACTGTAGTTTCCTTGACAAGCCATCTTTTATGGCAAGCCATCTTTAAATTGCTCTACCCTTCAATGTTTACAAACCATTTCCCCTATCCATCCTCCTTCCCATTCAATAGTTCTACAATTATATTGTTGTTGTTGTTCTTTGTACAGATGTTCAGACTGGATTTGTTGTTGTTCTTGTTGTTGTTCTTGTTGTTATATTAATATTTCTGGCAAGTTACCAGCAAAAACAGTATATGGACTGTAAGGCAGACTTACGGACTAAAAACTTTCCCTTTAAAATATGAAGGCTAATATTTTGAGGATCCTGACTTAGGTAACCACTAACTGTTTCTGCAGTTGCAAAATTTATACAGAACAATGTTCCGGGCTCTTATTTTACATATAGGACATAAGGAATTCTGCATCCTTGCAATTCATGGCAAATGTGTAGGATTTATCAGATAAAACACTTTGACCTGATGTCCTCAAGTTCCATCCTGAAATCTACTGTTGTCATATCCTCTGGAGTCACATTGTGAAAGACAGGAGAGCTACCCGAAAGGGCTTTCCAAAACTCACCACTCTTCTTGTAGAAGCAGACTTCTGTCTGGTATTCCTGCTTTCCTTCCAACACTTTTTCAATGCGTTGCAGAACTGCTTCATTGGTTTCACTGCCACAGAGGAAGCGGCAGCTGCAGTTTTTCTGCATGACTTCTGTTCGGGCAAAACCAGTGAGGTCACAGAATCCATCGGAGCAATACACAATGGGGAAGCCACGGTGTACTTGTGCGTTGGCCAGAAGGAAGTTGCTATCTGTGGAAGATATAGAAGAAACAACTTGGCCCTAAATTAATACCGATAAGTCAACTTGCAAATAGTTGAAAGATCAAGTGTTAGTAGGGATTTCGATTCTAGATTGTTTCATGGAATGCTTTCTTCCAATGGGAAGAAACCTAAGGAACACCATTGCCCAACCCCACTGCCATCTGTTGGCTAGAAAAAGACTTCACATTTCATCATAAATATGTCATTTTTGATGCTATTATTTTAAAAGCTACAAAATTTGTGTGACGAGAGAAGATGAAAGACATATATGTGTGCCATGTTCACTGAACCAAATGACTTACGGTACTCCTTCAAGAGCTGGTGTTCTCCAGATGCAGTCAACTTTCTTAATGCTTACCCTGGAGGTCACAATATTGGAAAAGGCTATCTTAAGAACTGCTTCCAACCAGATATTTCATTAAAGTATGTAAAGAAGAAAAATATCTCTGAGCGCAAATTAATGAACTTTGCCAAAGGTTTTCATGGGAAAGAGGCACAGAAATCAAGAGGGTGACCACTAAAGCTTTATCCCTTTTTAAAAAATAAGCATCACATATATAAAAAAATGTGGGGGCAAGGCTTCAGTTGTGTTGGAGTAGGATTGTGACTTTTTGTCCTCCTGCAGATGACCTTGATATTTTTAATTGTTCCCCACCTTGACAAGCATATAATTAAAGAACCCTTCCCCCCCCAACACACAAGGTCAGGTTCTCATCCCACCTTCGTTCTTCTAAAAAGATGCAGAGCTCCGTTCCCCCTGGATAATACAATGAGAACACAGTCCAAATAATATTTGCCAAGTATTGAAACTCACTGCAATTCTATATCAGAAACCTACATGAATAATGTGGCAACATCTTCCCACATTTCATTAGAGAAACTTTTTCAACGTTCTGCGTTCTGCATTTTTAAGGCGAGAATGAAGGATAAAGTCTCAGCTGCTATTTCTTTCTTTCTCACAGAATTAGAATTCAGGTTCCTGTTTTTGTGGTGTCACCTGCTTAGTGGCACTCCCAGCCTAGAGAATCTCCTCTGTGCTTGCTGGTCTCTAGAGAGCTTTTGAAAGCTGACTAAATCTCTTTTGTTTACATTGGACATTTTGTCTCTCTGCTACTTGATGATGTTAAGGCTCTGCACTAATACACAGAACATTGCCTATGTCAGGCATAGCTGTTGTATGAAAAACGACACTATAATCAGTGATGGACAGATGATATTTCCTAAAAGTCACACTTTAACAAGACATTGTGGAAATTAACAAGGTTGCTAATCCAAGATGTTTAGAATGTAGGAGCCTGTAGGAGCCATAGTATAGAAATTAGCCCTGACAAAGTACTTCAGAATATATAAAGATTATACACTGTATGTCTTTACAGAAAAACCTCTCTTGGCATATAGAGATGCGGTCATGTCTAGCACATTTTGTTATTTTGCCTGTCAAACTAGAGTCCATCAGTTCAGGGCTTCTGATCTTGACACCTTCCTTAACAAAGAAAGGAACCACGGGGAAAGATTGTCGAGAGTTTGGGTGTGTGATGTCACCAGAACAGAGACAACACCCAGTGCAATTTCTCTCCAAGGGAAAGCTTTAACTTATTGCAAAGGCCACTGGCCTTGATAGAAACTGGTGTTATTACTCTTGTACATTTCAGCTTGCATGCTATAATATGCTTTGATAGTTTAACAGACATGTTTCTCTACCAAAGTGAAACAGGGCAGCAGGCTTTTAATGATATTAATGGCAGCCCAGTGGCATGGAGATAGATAATCAAATATGGAATCTATCTATAACTATGACAATTCTCTCCTTCTGGGGAAATAGCAATTTCAGAAGGGATCATCATTCTCTGGGATCCTCATAAAAGACTGTTTCTTATTTTCAGGGTGACTTCCTATCCACACCCAGGAAATGTGCTTACACATACACAAACACACACACAGAGAGAGAGAGAGAGAGAGAGAGAGAGAGAGAGAGAGAGAGAGAGAGAGAGAGAGAGAGAGAGAGAGAGAGAGAGAGAGAGAGAGAGAGAGAGAGAGAGAGAGAGAGAGAGCTCAAAGGATACATCCTCCCAGGCCTGCCCTGATGTAAGTGTCTTTGAATGTCATGGCTAACTGTACAGTTTGCTTCTGAAAAATTTAGGGATTGCTAGGATCACATACTGGAACTTGTCCCTTCTGGCCATAAGAGGAGATGCACCTACACTTGATCCCTGTCAGGCACTTGAAGAAAAAATGGGATAATAAATGAATTGGTTTGCATGTGGATATATGCATCCAAAGTCAAGGGGAAGATTTGTGCATGAGGCTTTCCTGTCTTTTTTCTCTCTCCTATCCCTATCCCATCCTACTTTCAAACACAATGCTGAGATTCAGGTTGAATGTTCAAACATTCAAGCAAACCCTTGAAAGTCAGCACATATACTGTACTTATTTAGGGAAACCTGTGTGTCTCAGCAGATTTGTATTATTTTAAAAATGCTATGCAGTCACAGTAAGTTACAATACAAAGAAAGAGTCACATTCATGGAGGACTAAAGAAAAAAAGTCAGGGTGCATGTTGGCAACTGTTATCTAATTTTTTTATGCCCCTGGTAAGGGCATTGCAATCTTGTTGGAATCATGCTGTAGTAGTGTTAAATTGTGTTAGGTTCCGGAATTCATGGTGTTATGGGGAGAAGGGCCTTCCTAAGATGAAACTGGGTGTGGTTTTTTTATTTCAAAAATTAGTAAACCAGCCCACTACATTTATAACCCTACCTGCTCATTCTACTGATTAGGGCCCAAAGCCCTATCTTGATTATCAGTACATTGAAAGCTTCATTAATAAATTGTAGAAGTCAATGTGATTAACTCTCCCCTGGATTATGTGTAAAACTCTCTTGCACTATGGATAAAAATGCAATTGCTTCTAGGTTTGCCAAATTCAAAATATCAAGAAACCTCAGAAGTGGGAATGGAAAGCTGATGACTTTTTCAATATTTTCACCCAGCATGGCCTGCAGTATGGTTGGTAGAAATAAAGTTTTGAATACAGAAATCACTGCAAAAAAGTCTTTAAAATACTATTTTAGTATTTAGTATATAGTAATAAATTACAGCTCCAAATTCAGAGGCACATTACATTACTAAAATCTTGTAGATTGACAAAGAGAATGTTTCAGAAGCCAAGAATAGACACATTTCGCTCTAATGGTTAGCAATGCTGATATAGAAAGATCTGTTCTACCACCATTATACTGGTCCTACTTTAATTCTAAAGTAGGACCAGAATCCAGCCCTGTATTCTGTCTCCTATGCTAGTCTCATAATTGCGGGCAAGGAACACTCATAAGAAGGCCAGGGTGTATTCCACACACATTTTCAGCCTTTGCACACCCCCATCCCTCCATAATGGATTAGAGATCTATTTGAAATGATGGGCAGAACTGCCCAATTGAGCAGAACTCAGATGTGTGATTTTTTTCTTCTGCATTGGGCAAAAAGGTTTCCCTCCCCATTCTATGCTAACCCAGTTGGAGTTTTACTCGAGGTCACTTCAGGTCAGGGCTTGGATTAACTTGGGAGGGGCAAAGTGTATCTGTGTGTCTGTCAAAACATAGTTTGCATCTGTAGCTAAGTCTAGTATTTGGCTTCCATACTGCAGGATTAGGGGGATGCTTAAATGGTTGCGTATTAAAATATGCACTCTCCATGGTCCTGAACACTATGCTTCCATTCTCTCGCTCTTTCGCTCTCTCTCCACACTGAAAGACTGGCTTCCTGTGTAAGTACAAGAACTGCAGCCAATAAGCTCTGCATTCAAGAGAACCCTAATGAACTTTCAGGCTGAATAACTAACTATTGGAGTTCTCCCAGTGGTCTGGGAAATATTATTTGGGAACAATCAAAAATTATTTTACCATGACGAGTCTGTTCAAGTTCTAATTCTTTGTTCAGTTTGCATTTTCAGCTGTAATAATGAAGTAGGATAGCAAATAAGAAACTGTATTCAGCTTCCTCTCAGGGATGAGATATCACTGCCAGCCCTTAAAACAATAATTCCCACACACTAAAATACTGTTTTATGCTTCGGATTTGTAGAATTGGTAATAGACTTGTACATTGTTAAGGTGAAAGTTTTTCCCTTTATATTTGATAATCTTGTATCAAAGGAAAACACAGAAAACTTCTTAGAGTTTATCTATTGGTGAATATTGAATGGAAGAATGAGGATGAGAGATAGGATGGATGAATTTATAAGTGAAATATCTTCATTTTAGTTGGCCTTAGGTCTATGCCTCCCTGTTGAGATCCGGACCCTTACTACCCTCCCGGCCTTCCGCAAAGCCACCAAGTCCTGGCTGTTCCAGCAGGCTGAGGGGAGCTGAGAAGCATCTACCTCCACAGAAATTGTGAATGTTGGTTTTGTTTTTAATATGTTGTCTTTGTCTCGTTTTCCCCCTTTCCCTTGTCTTTTGTGAGCTGCCCGGAGTCCTCTGGGAGTGGGCGGCATACAAGACAAATAAATAAACAAACAAACAAACAAACAAATAAATAAATAAATAAATAAATAAATTTTCTATATAGAACACAGAGACCAATAATGTTTGGCATACAGGGTGTAATGTTTGAGAAAATGAAAAAAAAAACCAGATCAACTAACTTGATTAGAGGAAACTTTCTATATGTGTCAAACTTGATTTTGTTGAGGGCCGCATCAGGGTTGTGTTTGACCTTGGGGGGCTAGGGGGCAGAGGTCCAAAGGCCAGCTTGACAGTCAGTGGCACGAGAGCTCTGCCAGCGAAACCAGGCTCCTGAGCTCCATTTTTGGCTGTGATGGCTTCCTGCGACCCTCTGTCAGTAAAATGAAGCTTGGGAGGGCCAATCATGGCTCTCATGAGCTCCGTTTTTGGCTGCAACAGCATCCTGCAACCCTCTGCAAGTGAAAATGGATCTCAGGAGCTCCGTTTTTGCTGGCAGAGGCACCACAGGCTGCTGTTTCCAGGGTG